CCTTTTTGGCCAAAATATCAAGTTTGTAGTGGGATGCAAACGTTGATGGCGTAGACCACGTTGCTACTTTGCATATCTGTTCAAGAGGAACTTTATGGAGAAAGGCTTGGGAAGTGGTGAGTGATCTGGTTGAATGAGCCATGAGGTGAGTTGGTGGTTCTTTACCTGCCAACTGGTAGGCTAGACAGATTGCAGATACAATCCAAGAGGCAAGTGTTTGGGAGGTAATAGGGTGTCCCAAGGCGTCCTTTCTATATTTAAGGAATAGCCTAGGAGACTTTCTATGGGTTGCTGTCCTATGTATGTAAAAGGACAGTACCCTCTTTACATTGAGGGAGTGGAGAGCGATCTCTAGAGGGGATGAAGGATTTGGAAAAAAGGTAGTTAGAGTAATGTCTTGAGACATGTGGAAATGAGAGACTACTTTTGCAAGGAAAGTGACATTGGTGCGAAGAACGACCTTGTCATTCTAGAAATGAATATACAGGGGATCTGCTCGGAGGGCAGCGAGTTCGCTGGCCCTTCTTGCGGAGGTGACTGCTACGAGGAATGCTGTTTTCCATGAAAGCTGAGAAATGTGACTGGAGGCCATGGGTTTGAAGGGAGGTTTAGAGAGTTGGGACAAAACCAATTCTAGGCTCCAGGAGGGGGGAGGGGAAGAGGGGGGGGGGATGGATGTTTTTGCAACCTTTGAGAAACAACTGGATAAGATGCTCTTGAAAAAGGGACGGCAAGCCTGCTTTTCTTCGGAAGGAGGAAAGGGCAGCTAGATAGCAGTTAACAGAAGAAAGGGAAAAACTAATGGGATGGGAGCTGTGGTGGGGTCATGTCCGGAGGATGCTGTGAAAGATTTGAACAGGGACCATTTATATGTATAGGACTTTTTTGTAGCTGGCTTGTGAGGTGCTGGAATTATGCGGGAGGCTTCTTTAGATAGAGTTAATGTGGTTTGATCCTCCATGGCATTAGGTGGAGGTATTGTGGGTCTGGGTGTAGGACAATGGTAAGAAGGTCTGGGGTTGTTCTGAGGCGAAGGAAGTCTCCCTGGGACATTTGAAGGAGATGTGCAAACCAGTGATGGCAGGGCCACCAGGGGGTGATCAACATGCAATCTGTGTTGTCTGAGAGTATTTTTGCTATCACCAAGGGGAGCAGGAGGGGGGGGGGAGGTGAAAGAGAGGAGTCCAGGCGTTCCGAGATCAGGATTGGAGAGGGTTGCATCGTCGAATAGGAAGTCCGAATCAAAAGGTAAATAAAGAGAGCTAAAGGTTTGCTGTTGCTGCTATTGTGCGGAAAAGGGAACTGAACTGAAGCCCCACTTTGTGGCTTATATACGAGTGAGAGGATGGGCAGGGCTTCCGTCAAAAATTAATCAAATAAAAAAGTCTAGAATGTTCCAGCTTGCTGCACATGGGAAATACCCATATGTGCGCATTTCACAGAGGACACGATGAAGAAACATGTGTACTTGAATGCAGCATTGTGTCCAAATTTCAGTGCTCAGTTTAATTTCTTATACAGCTGAGGTGAAATGAACACTAGGCTGTGCGTGGTTGCTTTGGGCATCACAGATTCCACTTGTCTATTCTTGGATTGATACTTTTACTCTAAATTCACCTGTGTATTCGAATGCAATGTTGTGTTTCGATTTCATTTTACTATTAATACATGTACTTATTGGACTGCAATGTTATGTCGAAACAATGCGCTGTGGCGCAGCTAGTTAGTAGCCAGCTACATTAAATCACTACTGACCAAGAGGGCATGAGTTCGAAGCCAGCCCGGGTCAGAGTGAGCTCCCAACCATTAATAGTCTATCTTGCTGTTAACCTATGCAGCCCGAAAGACAGTTGCATCTGTCAAGTAAGAAATGTAGATACTGCTTTATGCGGGGAAGCTAATTTAACTAATTTACGACACCACAAACCCTTCCAGCAGTGTGTGTAAGAATGAGGAAGTACTCCATCAAGGATTCGGTGTCACAAGTGGATGGTGAAGCAGCAGTTCCCCATGGCCTGACTCGAGCATCCCTCATGAAGCCGGAAAGCTGGAATGCTAAATTTCCTGTGTCTGTCTATATATATTAAGCTGTACCCACCACGCGTTACTGTGGCAAATATTCCATCCCTCTTTCTCTTCTTTCTTCCTTTCCTTCCCTCCCTCTTTCCTTCCTTCCTTCCCTTTTTTCTTTCTTTCTCTCCTTCCTTCCTTTTCTTCCCTTCCATCCCCATCTTTTCTTTCCCTTCCTCTTTCTCCCCTTTCTTTCTTCTCTACCTATTATTGGACTGCGACTTCCAGCAGTCCTCCTGATCCATCTATCTATCAATCAACCTATCTATATGGAGGATTGCTGGAAGTTGCAGTCCAGGAATAGGAAATTGGAAATATGCAGGGATTGGGATGCTCTCAAAGAAATCTAAGGAGAAGAAAGCTTGCAGCTTGGAAGCAGTGCATTTGGATCATTCTCCTCTCCTAAAGGGCCTGGTCTAGGGGATGCTGAGAGCTGTAGTCTGGAAGAGAGTGTGGATATGCTATTGTATGTTTTGTTTGCCAGAGGAAGTTGTTTTTGCGCATGCGCTGTAGCATCTTTTTGCTTTTTAAGTCTCTTCTGCTGTGTTTTCCAGTATTTTTTATGAGCGATGATCACTCGTTGGCCTGATAGGTGTATTGTGTCCAAATTTTGTGTCAATTAATCCAGTTGTTTTTTGAGTTATGTTAATCCCACAAACGAGCATTACATTTGTATTTATATAGATATGTCTATGGCATTGAATGTTTGCCATGTATATGTGCATTGCGGGGTGAGAAGGGCAGAATATAAATTATTGTTATTTGATGTTCATTCGTTGTCGTTTCCGACTCTTCATGACCTCATGAACAAGACCATGCCAGAGCTCCCTGTCGGCTGTCACCACCCCCAGCTCCTTCAAGGTCAATCCAGTCACTTCAAGGATCCCATCCATCCATCTTGCCCTTGGTCGGCCTCTCTTCTTTTTTCCTTCCATTTTCCCTAGCATCATTGTCTTCTGTAAGCTTTCCTGTCTCCTCATGATGTGGCCAAAGTACTTCATCTTTCCCTCTACTATCCTTTCCTCCAATGAGCAGTCGGGCTTTATTTCCTGAAGTATGGACTGGTTGGATCTTCTCACAGTCCAAGGCACTCTCAGAACTTTCCTCCAACACAACAGTTCAAAAGCATCTATCTTCCTTTGCTCAGCCTTCCCTAAAGTCCAGCTCTCACATCTGTAGGTGACTATGGGGAATACCTTTTGTGATGTCTCGGCCTAGTTTATTTTCCTGTTCATTTCCCTGGAGTTAGACTGTTCCATTCTGTTAAGTTTAGAGTAGGAGCTTAGGCTATAGGCCTAGCTCTTTGGTTCAGCGCATTCTGCCTCTTTAGAGCCTGGTGAAAGACTTTTTGGCTCCATTCCTTTTGGTCATAGTTTATAGATAGTTGCCAAAAAAGTGTCTGGTCTGGCTTGCAGTCCGTACAGGCCATCCTTATCACATATTTGCTTTAGAGTTTATAGTAGATGTTATAAAGAATAGATAATATATGCTTCATAGAATTCTTTGATAATACATGCCTTAGAGTTTATAGTTTATAGAACACTTACCTCATAGATTAGAATATACATCTCCCAATAGTTAATAGTTATATATGCCATAGTTATAGCACACACTTGCCATAGTTTATAGAATACTTACCTCATAGAAATTATAGTTTGTTACCTCAGAGTTTATATTTCACTGTTCTAACACCATCATAATCAAACTGTACTTTTATATCTTGATTATTCAGTAAACAATTGTTGAACTTAATCTTGTTTGTAGAGTTTTATTTTGGGGGAATTATAGTAATTTAGGGCATACCGATGGTCACTGGGAAAATAGCCAGACACATTTAGTTTCTCATTAGATCTTCCTGGTGTGCCATCATACCTTTGCTTTAACTATGCGGATCTTTGTTGCCAGCGTGATGTCTCTACTCTTCACTATTTTATCGAGATTGGACATTGCTCTCCTCTCAAGAAGTGTCTCCTGATTTCCTGGCTGAAGTCTGCGTCTACAGTAATCTTTGCACCTAGAAATACAAAGTCTGTCACGGCCTCCACATTTTCTCCTATTTCCCAGTTGTCAATCATTCTTGTTGCCATAATCTTGTTTGTTTTTTTTATGTTTCCCTCCAACCCAGCTTTTGCGCTTTCTTCTTTCACCTTGATTAGAAGGCTCCTCAGCTCCTCCTACCTTTTGGCCATCAAAGTGGTGTCATCTGCATATCTAAGGTTGTTAATGTTTCTTCCAGCAATTTTTACCCTTGCATTCATCAAGCCGGAATATACTGTAAATAAATAAATAATAAATATCAAGTCAATCAACAATTTATTTATTTTATTTTATTTTATTTAAAAGTTTTGTATACCGACCTTCTCACCTCTCTTGAGGGACTCAGACCGGTTTCCAATCATAATATCACATACAATCAATAAAACATCATAATACATATTACAGTAAAACATTAAAACAGCAATTACAATCAAGACTGCTTTTTGGGTTTTGCAAGCACAAACATACGCAGGCTGAGATTTTACTCAGAAGATATAATGCTGTGGGGTTGGAGGCCATTTCTGGAAGATATAATGCTGTGGGGTTGGAGGCCATTTCTGAGGTTTCATTTTCCACACGTCACAGTGTATGACGCTGCAGTATTGTCCATTAAGAACAAAGGCGTGATAAAATACTGAAAACCTTTTGTAACTTTTGGCCCACTCTATATATGTGTGCGTGCGCGTGTGCCTAACGAAGGGAAACATTGCCAGAAAGACACTGCGAGGCCAGTCTTGAACAAAACAAGAAAAACAGGCCCGAGGGCGGGGCGGATTCGTCTGGGCCGAATTTTTCTCTCTGCGCCTGCGCAAATCCTCCCCTCCCACTAGGGCTATGCTCGGAACGCTCCTGATCCGGGGATTTGAAAGCCGGAAGCCGCGCCCCGCTTTCCCGGCAGCCCTCGCGCGCGCCCCGGCTCCTCCTTCCGCTGGCCAGGCCCGGGCAGGTTTCGTTGGCGTCGCTCCTCTCGGGTACTTCGCTGCCTTTCTTTCTCTGCGCCTCAGGCGGCTCGGATGGGGAAGAAGTCGCGGGCGGCGCCGGTGGGTCGGCGGCCGATCCTGCAGCTCTCGCCGCCGGGCCCTCGCGGGGGACGGGAAGAGGCGGCGCCGGGGGACGGGGATTCGGCTTCGGAGGCCGGTGAGGGTGCCCGGGGAAGGCCGCGCGGCCTACTGGCTGGCGGGCGGGCGGGGCGGGGCGGTTGCCCGGTTTTGGGGCTCTTCCCTTGTCTCTTGCCGCCTAAAAGCGCGCGGGGGGGGGGGGGGACGGGACGGGACGGACGGACTTCCTGATCTTCGAGCCACCTCCCCGTATTCCCGGCCAGCATAGTCGGTGGTGAGGGATGATGGGACCTCCACCCAACCACATTTGGATTAATGCATACTATTGACCTCTGATTAAGGCCAAGGCCATGGACTAGAGCAGAGTTTTCCAGACAGTGTGTCGTGACACATTAGTGTGCTGGCTGCAGTGTGTAGGTGCACTGCTTGAATTTATTAAGAAATGACAAAAAATACCTTGGAAATACACATTATTTCTTGTAAATCATATATTTTTCAAAATATAAATGATTTTTTTCATGAGATGCCTTGTGTCTACACAAGGCATCTCATGATTTCCTTACTATACTTTTTATGTCTTTATATATAAACACTTTATTTATATTCCGCCCTTCTCACCCCGAAGGGGACTCAGGGCGGATCACAAGTACACATACATGGCAAACATTCAATGCCGTTTGTATAGACAGTACACAGACAGAACAGAAGGAGGTGTTGTGTCGATGCCATGGACAGTTGGGCTCGAGCCCACAGGGGGTGCTGTCGCTCCATCGTCTGTGATGAAGAGCCTTCAGGACTTCCTCATTCCATTTTCTGATCTTCCTTTTCTTTATGACATTGTAAAACACCTCCCCTGCTTTAGCAGTACCTAATTTCTCTAATTACAGCTAAAGCTGTTTTCGAACTGCTTAGGTAAACAGTGAGCAGGGCTGACGGTTGGCCGCTCACACTGACCTGGGGGTTTGAACTTGCAACCTTTCGGTTGATAGATCTTATAGTTGCTGATTGTTTACCAGCTGTGCTAAACCTCCGGCCCCTATTATTTGACACAAACAATCTAATATGCAATCAGAAAATATACATTCAAGAATAATGAAACATGTCTAGATCTGTATTCATATGGTAACTTGTACAAAATAAGTATAGCATACTTTACCATTCACTAGCATTCAAAGATGTTTTCAAAGCAATATTCATGCAAACTATTCTTAATTATAATTATTGGTTACTATCTTTTAGGAAAATCTCTTTTAATTTGGATAATAGCAATAGTACCATCAGCAACTCTTCCCCCCATATCATATGCAACAATCCTAATGTAATTTTTTTAAAGAAACTTCTTGCAAGGCAGGGAATATATCTTCACAATCAAGAGAATTTCAAAATATGTCTACACACATCATGATTTCACGTTAATAAATAATAACCCCATAAGAAAGGGAAAAGGCATTAAAGCATTTTCTTGTGATTTGAGCTTTCTGACTGTTTTGCATACATAAATATGGATAACTAAAAAAATGCATAAATTGAAAGATGATTAAAATCATAATCAAATGTTTCATTAACATCATTCCGTCATATTGGCATGTGATACAGTTTATATATGTCTCTTTATCTCATGCAAGGGGTTGGTTTAACTTCAGTTTGCTAGTAAATTTGAATTATTGTGTTGTGAAATGATGTATGTCTTTAAAAAGTGTCCTCAACATGAAATGTTTGGAAAGCTCTGGACTAGAGGGTTTTAACTTAACCATTACAGTTCTTTTCTAAAATATGCACACTTGCACTATGAAGGCATGGGCCTTTTACTTGTTTAGGAGTAAACATAATGGGAAATATTTGAACTGTCTTCTGAGTAAACTTGAATAGAATTAGATTGCACATCAATATGGCCATATGTGACATTGGCATGAGCTGATGCCATCTCTTCACCAAGATGAGGAGTGTTTTGGCTGCTTAGTTCCTCTGGTGTATAGTGGTTGGAAAGTGGTTAAAGGGGGAATATTGAAAAAGGTGCTGAGATGTATCAGTAAATGCTGGCCCAGTTAACTGTAGTCCACAGCAGTTCTAGTATAAATGATGTACTGTCCGTTTCATCATATCGTTGGCTGCTTTCATTGTTAATTAATTTATATATCAGTTACAGTTACACTTCTATTTATTTATTTATTTATTTATTTACAGTTCTTATATTCCGCCCTTCTCACCCCGCAGGGGACTCAGGGCGGATTACAGTAAACACATATATGGCAAACATTCAATGCCAGTTTGACAAACAACATTTAACAGACAAAGGCTATTTAACTTTTTCTGGCCGCCAGGGGAGCTGCTGCTTTTCATCGTCCATCAACGACACCGATGAAGTTCTTCCGCATTCCACATTCCCCGGAGTCTTCTTTCTTTATGGCCTCATAAATTAGTTAAATTTAGCCTCCCACACAAGGTGGTACCTTATTTTCCTACTTGACAGATGCAACTGTCTTTCGGGTTGCAAAGGTCGACAACAGGCTACACAATGGCTGGAACCCACTCCAACCCGGGCTGGCTTCGAACTCATGACCTTTTCAGAGTGATCTTAATGCAGCTGACACTCAGCCAGCTGCACCACTATCCCATCTAGTTCTTATATGGTCTCCTGCTGGCACTGATGTGACCTCAAACTGTTTAGTTTCAAAGAGGTCACCATATATACATTAATAAAATTCCCTAAAGCATTTGAAGTGACATATTGCGTTTACAGGCGTGCATGGAAACATCTGCGTACATGGGGTCTACAGCTCATGAAAAGAGTGTGCTAAATTATTATTTGGTGGGATGGAACAGTACAATGCATGGTTGAAATATAGACTATGAGGTTTGAGGGGATTTTTCTTTCACTGGTGTCCATTCATCATCAGTGATCTCATGTCCGAGTATGATTGCTTTATGTGTAGGATCTTGACGGTGGTTCCATAGGTGCCTATAGAGACCTATTCTTGATCTTGGTGTTCTTTTGCAGTGAGGGCATCTCTGTGTCTATGCCACAGTTTTTTAAAGTTCACTTTAAGGCCCTTACTCTTATTACTTGGCTGGTGCTACATCAGAGCCACACATACATATGGCAGATTGGGTGTCAGCAACTCTTGTATGTGCAAATAGTGCTGGGAAGAATGAACAAGAGCATCATCTACCTAGTATGAGGAAGTGTTTAAGCCGGTTTTAGAATCTCTAGAGATGTTTGTTTCATGTGCCTTGTCATAATTTGTAAAAAGCTGCACAGCCACAGTGTTCAAAGCATTCTGAAAAAGTTATGTTTCCAGTACCTTCCTGAAGACGTGCTGCAAGAAAGGAGTTCCATAGTTGTGGTGCTATGACTGAAAGGGTCCTTTTGTGTTTTTGTAGGGCTTTTGATTTAGCCTAGTCTATTCTGTGTCTGACACTCAATGTGTTATAGCCAGTTTCCAGCAAAGAGAATGCAAAGGTCGAGAAAGTGAAAATGTCTTGGCTGTACTGAATATTCTAACTTTTGATGGTTGAAGGAAGAGTATGGATGAGAGTTGAAGGAGCATGTTTCTGACTTCATGCAATGGTACTATACTTGAAAAAATGCACAGTCATTAATGACACATAGTGGAATCCAAGCTTAATCCTCTACAAATGAAAGGGGACTTTGTCTGCTTGCAGAGGATATTGGGATACAGGACATGATCAGTACAAGGCCTAAATACTTTATTTTTTTTATTAATAATCTTTATTGAGGTTTTCTAAAAATACAGACATTAAAATAGAGTAGTATAGATAGCATAGTTAAACAGATAAAAGTGTATGAAAATATATAGGGGAGTAGGAAAGGGATAGAAAAGGGGTAGGTAACGGGTGGAAGGAAGGAAACCTTCCGGGGAGCGTAAGGGGGGGGAGGGGGTATCCCGGGTATCTAGGTGTCGTGGTAGGAGTAGGAGGGGAATAAATACTTTAAAGGAACCTCATCTGATCTTGGAAGCTAAGTAGGACCAAGCCTGGTTAGTACTAAGATGTGAGACCCCAACTAATGCAAGGTGCTTAAGGCTGGATTTCAGAGAAAAGAACTAGAAAACCATCTCTGAATATTTCTTCCCAAAGAAAACTACATGAAAGTCATAGGGGCACAAAACTTGTGTATCAATATCATAGTCATCACCTAAGAGATTCTTTGCAATGAAAGAAGGAAGGGGGAGAAAAAAATGTGGCAGGGACTGATGGTTTTTATTTCATGTGAGATAAACCTACTTTGAATACAGTTCTGCGTAGCTTTAAGGCCTTAACAATAAAGCACAATTTTGGGAGTGGTAGAGCATGACTTCCACATGTACAGGATCAGTAGCCATGGTTTCATTTACCTGAAAAAATATTTTTCTAGGGCTTCCAGTGTTACTTCATAGTATTCTTGCACCCAAAGTCCTTCATTTCAATAAATTTTGATGTTATCCATGGTTTTGTGTAAACATACAAAGTCCGGGAACTTATCCCCTGTACATGTGTGGTTTGTACTGTCATAAGATCCGAAAGATACATATTACGGTAATTGTCCCAATTTTTCAAAATACTGGGTAAAGTCTTATAAAGTTACAAACATTCAACTTACAGATGACTCATAGTTAAGTACAGGGGTGAGACAATAGAAAGTGAGAGAAATCTACCCCTCATAAAGAAAATTCACTCCGGAAAAGTTAACATGGGGAAAAGGTGTCTCCCTTGAAGCTTTATCACCAATCTTCTGAATAGGGGCGCAGACAGTAAAACAAACATTACCCTTCCCTATGCTATCCAAAGCGTGCTGTCTCTCTCTCTCCCTCCCTCCCTCTATAAATATATATTCACTTAAAATGTACCTGTTCCGACTTACATACATATTCAACATAAGAGCAAACCTACATAGCCTATCTTGTTTGTAACATGAGGGCTGCTTGTACAGGTCTTTCAGTCTTTACAGTGGTCAGTTAATGTTGATGTATAAAAGTAATAAATCAGTTTACTAAAAAACAATGTCTGAGAATATGAAACTCTCCCTGAGTTCTTTCCTTATATGTGCAATAGTGAGAACTCTTGTTATTAATATATTGGCCATTGTGGTACTGGAGCCGGCTATTTACTTTGCCTGTTGTATGTTATGCAGCTAAAGTAGGCTCACCTAATATAAAATCCTTCTTTCCCATGTCAAGTTTTATCGCATTCTATAACTGGAGATATGCTGCTTACAACACAATCCTGAAAATTGGTTTTTCCAGCTCCTTTACCATCCTCTCAATACCAATGCTGTGCAAAAAAAAAAAAAAAAAGGGGGGGGGGACAATAAAAAAGGGACAGACCTGGGCTCTCATAAAAAGACCTTGTTAAAAAGAGTTTCTTTGTTAGCTGAGGTATCCTTGCAGTGTGTTATAGGTTGCCATACCTTTCAGTATCTTTTTGATTATGATTATGTTTATTTATGCCCCCCTTTTTTTCTCCACAAAAAGACTCAAAGTGGCTTACATTTTAAAAAATCTCCATACAATTTAAAGTCTACAAATATGCAAACATTAAAAAAGAATTAAACATCTATTTATTAAAATTCAGTTAAAATCCATAAAAACATTAAAAGCTAAAATCCACACATGATTTGTATTAGATGGAAAAGTACAACAGAGAATTATTTTCCCATCTTCATAATCATTTTGCTCACATGCTCCATATATAGTTTTCTTCTTTTTGTTTTGACATTTCCTTTGTAATTCACGCAGTACATACAGTGTTGTTCCTAAAGCAATGTTGTTACTTTTCTACATAGGTCTTCCTCTAGCATGTTTATTTAATAAAGGAGTCTCTTTTGGTATTGAAACATAAGTTGCAGTAAAAGAGTCTTCCTTCTTTTTGTTCTTTTTATATTAGTAGTAGTAAAGTAGTAAAAAGCTGCAAATTATGCCCAGTTTTACTTGTGCACAAAAATAGTTATGGGCCATCACTTGCATTATTCCAGTTACTTTAGTGTTCTTGTATCCATTAAGCCAGTAAGCATACCAGTATTTTCATTTTATTAGTAGCAGTTTGGATAAAACTTGAGATATTCTTCTGAAATGTTTTTTTTTACATCTGATTTCTTCTCCAGATGAATTTGAAGCATCAGAAGAGACTTCAAGGACAGTTCCAAATCCACCCCCAGCCAACATGCCTGTAGCTGTTAAACCAACAGGTATCACCTTTTCCAGTTTCCTGATTTGCAATTATCAATTTGTAGGAGAATAATGCTAAATTAAATTAATCCATTAGTAATAGTTTGATCAAAAGTACAAATATGTTGGCTAAAATTGCAGTTACAAAATTCAAGTTACTAATATTCTGTGGGTGTTAAAGAACAATATTAGACATAAGAATAGCAAACCACTTTATGTTTGATTGATATCTTAAGTGTTATTTATTAACATATCTACCTTAAATAGTGGAGATTTTTTTTTATTTAAGCTTGTTAGATTTGTACAAGTCTAGTTGTATTAAGGGTTTATATTTATTTATATTTTAACTGGGCAGGTTTTTCAAAATTAAAAACTTGGAAGTTTGTCAAGAAATAATTCCAGTCTTTAATGTGAAAAAGACAATTACACTGTTAGTTCACACATGGCTGACTGTGCTGTATTTATGACTGAGTGCCTCCCATCTTCTTTACTTATTATTAGTGTGTACATATTTCTTTGAAAACCAGTTTACTTACTTGTGTTTACTTGTGTTCTTACTTTTTAAATAAGTAAGAAGTGTCTACCTAGGATTTTCTTTCCTGCACTAATGATCAATAAGACTTTATTGGCATTTATATTGTGCACATTGAAATACGAATGCAATGCACAGCACATTCTTGAGGCAAAATTCCTCCTCTGAACTGTTAGCTTGCATCAGCAAGATCAGTTACAATTTCAAAACTTCAGTTTCAAGATACAGTGCTTCAAAGAAAAAAAATCTAATTCTTTTGTGGCATTCATTTATGAGTGGTGTAAATGAATAATAGATAATGTGTTGTCAGGCTTGTTAAGATACAGCTAACAATTTTCCAACACCTGAATGCTTAAGCTATAACAGGACACTCATGTCAGCAGTTGTAATGTTGACTTATGTTTCAGGTGGCTTATGTTTGCTCGGTGCTTATGCAGACAGTGATGAAGAAGATAGTGAAATGTCTGAGAAACCATCACAATCTGCAGGTGCAAATGCCAATAATTCAGCGGACATTGACAGCACCCTTGCCAGCTTCCTAGCGGTTAGTAACAATTGTGTCTTGGTTCATAAAGTGACTTTCTTTTGGGAACTGAAATGGAGCTACAGGCTAACTCATAAAAGATTCAAGAACAGACATGAAAAAACAAACTGCTGATTGATGAGTGTTTTAAAAGAGCCAGGAAGCCAAATTCAGATCATTTAGTGGCCAGTTTCTCTTTCTACATGATTGTCAAATGATTAAATTAGGATTAGGGAATTCTTTTTGGTTCATGGACCAAATTCTAATTTAAGAAAGGGGATGCAGCCCAGCATTACCTGAGCAAGGTGAGCATGGCCAGATGTTGACAGTTTAGATTGTAACCCACCAAGCATGTAAAGCAAGGCTTGATTTGTCAGGGCAGTTTTCATGCCTGCAAAACACAGTTCAGCTCTGTTCACAGTATTCAAAATGGCACACCTTCATCTCAGATCACTAGCTGAGGATAGCAACAGAACAAGCTTGTGGGCCAGTTTGGGAACTCCTGTGATCATGTCAGCTTTGGGCCACAGTTCCTCTTATCTGTGTTAAATGTGCTTACTTGAGTCAATTAATCTTCTTTCTTCTTTTTAAAAGGAAATAGATGCAATTACAGCTCCCTCCCAACCTGTGGAGGCCACTATTCCTGCCACTGCTCCACCTCCAACTCCTCCACGCCCAGAGCCCAAGGACTCTGCCACCAGTCATGTTTTGGCAACTGCAAATGGAACAGACCAAGTTCCGGAGTGGCAGTATGATACTCAGTGCTCACTAGCAGGAGGTGAGCTTCTGCTGTTCCATGGCTTTTTGTTCTAGTACTCCATGCAAGTGTCATAGTAAAGATAGACATTCCATGCATTCCCTTGTCTTGGTAAAATAGTTTAATTTGTGATGAGCTTCTGAAACCTGAGAGTCTGGGGTTGCACACCTGAAAAGATGAAAGGAGAAGGAGGGCTCCAGTTTTACAGGTTTTGACATGTCCAAAATGCTGCTGAGATATTGCTAGCAAAGCCCAAATGCCCACAAAGATGATTTTTCAATCCTTCTGTTTGCAGTGGGTTAAACCCTCAAAACATCTGGGTGTCCCCTGGGCAATGTCTTTTCAGATGGCCAACTCACTCTTACCAGAACCAACTTGCAGTTTCTCAAGTCGCTCCTGACACAAAAAAACCTTATGTAATTTCACAGGTTGTTTTTTTAACCATTAGGTACATATACAGTGAAACCAAACAGAAAACAAATAAACAAAACCACATCCCATTTGAAGAATGAGAAGGAAACATTTTTAATGTTCTCTGTAGTGCACCTTAGTTTATATTCCTTTTTAATTATTTTATCTCATTTTTGAAAGTTGTTGGATCTAGATTCTTTCCATCCTCTACCACAGTGGTTCTCAACCTGTGGGTCCCCAGGTGTTTTGGCCTACAACTCCCAGAAATCCCAGCCAGTTTACCAGCTGTTAGGATTTCTGGGAGTTGAAGGCTAAAACATCTGGGAACCCACAGGCTCCTGGAAACGTCTACAATGCTGGCAGGGACAATGAATGAGGAATCTTCTGCTGGATCACTCCCTCTAAGAATATAACATTGTTGAGGATCTCACATAGAAAGATTTGCTGTTTCCTGTTGCTCTAGGATTATGTATACATTTGAGCTTGTAAGGCCCATTACAGCCTTTAAGGAGTTCAAATTATTCATGGAACATGGTGAAGATGCTTGGTGGAACAGTTTGCAATTATTTGCTGGCAACTGGGAAAAGAGGACTAGCTTACCAAATACTTGTTTTCTTCCTGCAGTGGGAGTGGAGATGGGAGACTGGCAGGAGGTTTGGGATGAAAACACTGGCTGCTACTATTACTGGAACATTCAAACGAATGAAGTTACATGGGAACTACCCCAGTATCTTGCTACACAGGTTCAAGGTCTCCAACATTACCAGAGGTAAGAGTGCTTCTGAACTGAAGACTGAATTGTTGCTGGATGAGGTTTTTTTTGTAGTTAAACATGCTTTTTCTGTTAGTTCTGTAACAGATGCTGATGAAAACTACCAGATAGTTGCTGATGTAACTTCCTTGGGAAAAGGCGGTGCTGCTGCTCCTGTTTCTGCTGCGAACACTGGACGGAGGACTCTAGTGAAGCGTGAGCCAAAAAAGGTCGGTATCAGCATGACTGACTTAACACAAATACTTCTTTTGTGCTCTCATTCTTTCGAGAGTTCCGCACTCCAGTATTTGCTTTGGACAGTATGCTCATCTGATTGTTTTCCATCTCAAAATGGATGTTAAGCACCCATAGCAGGAACAGCCTTGCAGAACATTTCAGCCACATAGCTCTGGAGGATTTCAGGGAGAACAACTTATACCTTGGTAACTCAGATGAGTGCTTCTGAGACAGAAGCGATTCTATAGTTCAGTTCAAGAGCGTTGCTTTGTATGTACAAGCTCCTTGGTTCATTCTCTGTACATTCCTATTCCAAACTAGCAAATACCAGGGGTCTGAAATTGAGACTTTCATGATCCGCAGAGGTTTCACATCCTGATTACTGGAAGCTATGAACATGTGTCTCTGGTTTCTGAATCAAGATCAATTAGTCACATATTTCAAAGTATTGCAGAATAATAGTGACAATTAGAAATATGTTTTTCTTCACATAGTTGAAGTTTTCAAGATACTGAACTATATTTGCTGTGTCAAAATGTAAGAGAAAAGAGTTTAGACTAAGAGGCGACATGTTAGCCATATTGATGTATTTAAGATGTAGCAATCTTGTTTTCTGCTGCCCCAGAGTCTAAAACACAGAGCAATTGATTTTACAGGAAAAGAGATGCTACCTAAACATAGGAAGAACTTTCTGATGGTAAGAGGTGTTCAACAGCAAAATATGAGCCCTGGAGTGTGGTGTTCTTTGGACCTTGCAAGCAGAGGCTGAATAGTCAATCTGTCATTTTGTATCTTTTGTATCTTTTATAAAAATACATTTTAATATGTGTATTTGTGGTATTTTTACAATGTTGATGTGTTTTAATTCAGTAACCCGCCATGAGGAGAGGTGGGTAAGAAATAAAATTATTAATATTATTGCTTATTCCTGCATATAATAATAATAATAATAATAATAATAATAATAATAATAATAATAATAACAACAACAACAACAACAACAACCTTATTCTTCTACCCCACCACTTCTCCCCGAAGGGTGGCTTACATATGGGGCAGAGTGTCCACAAGACATAATAAGCAAAACAATACATTAAAACAAAAACACAATAAAATAAAAACATAGTAAAATATAACAAACCAGATAAAAACACAATTAAAAACATAAAACATCAGCATATTGTTAAGTATCTTCTTTATGAGGTGTCCCTCCACCGAAACATGTGCAGAGCTACATGTCAGTACTATGGCTAAAGCATATGTGAAGTTACCAACAACTATGTCTGAAGTTACCAACAACTCAAGTGCAAAGGCCCCCCACCCCCCAAATAATGTAAAAACTGCTACCATTGTTTTCTATACCTTCATTTCAGGAAGCTAATGTAGTTATTGATGATTTATTGATTTCTAAGGAACTGAATGAAGGTATCCAAGCCCTTTCAAACAATGAAGAAGAAAAGAAGGGAGTAGCTGCATCACTACTGGCTCCATTGCTTCCAGAAGTGGTGAAGGAGGAGGAGGAACGCTGGAGGCGGAAGGTTATCTGTAAGGAGGAGGTGGAACCATTAATGGAAGAAGACGTGACAGCAGAGCAGACAGCAATAGTTGCTGATAAGCAGCCAGAAAGCAGTCGAGATATTGGAGAAGACCCTTCCCAGGAGGACATATGTAGTGTGGTGCAGTCAGGAGAGAGTGCCGAGGAAGAAGAGGAGCAGGATACTCTTGAGTTGGAAATGGTATTGGAGAGGAAGAAGGTGTGTGAGAACTCATTTCTGGTGAGGCTGAGAACAGATGGATGCAACAGAGTCTCTTTTGGGGGTGGGGGGACTAGTATCACTGTATGTCATTGTCACACATTTGTCTCTGTCCCCTGAAAAGGCAAAACTTTTGATACAGAAAGGTCTGTTGTGGTTGTGACCATACCTGAAGTCTTGAAAGGATTTTTGAAAATACCAAAAAGTGGGTGGGTGGACTTTTGTGGCATGCCTCACTTCAAACTGTATGATAAGTAATATCAACTGTGTGTTCAAAACGCTTGTGCAAACAATTCTCCACAGGGAAGTATTGCTCTTTTGCAGGCATAAAGCATCACAGTTTTAAATGTGGGGGAAAATGCAGCCTCTTTCATGTAGAAGTATAGTATTGAAGGAAGATACTCATACTTTAGCCCAACAAGTGAGGAAATAGCTATAGAGACTGTTTTAACTTCTATATGTAATGGGATCTGTTAATTCTGTTTATTTGGCTAGGTTGGTGGTTTCTTTATAGTTTTGGTAGGGTTTTCATCTTCCTGAGATAAAGAAAAGCATTGGCCTGTTATCTAAAATATAGTTGTCTTATATACTGGACAACCTTCATCTGCGGCGTTGTTGTCCCCACACTGAAGTGGAGTTGCCACCTGTGATGTTGTAAAGAAAAGGTCACAGTTAAAGAGGGTATTGTAATGCTCCTTAGGGCCTCCACTCCCTTTCCTACTGCTTCATTGAGAAGGAGGGAAAGTTAAGGATCAAAGGGTTAAGGCAGCTCTGTTTCTTCTTTGCTGACCACTACAATTGAAAACTCAACATTTTCCAGTCTTGCCTGTAAGAATGAAAGAAAGGGGGATTTACATCCCTGTTGAGTCACAGTGTAGAATGCTCTGGATAGGCAGTGACTACAAAAGTGACTGGTCACAAAGAAGCACAACTGACTGTGCAAGAGCAAACAGTATCAGTGATGGTCGCTCTCCTATATTGATGTTGATTGAAGAAGCTCCTAACTGCCCTGGGCAAAGATATAAGAAATAGTAGTGACTACCAGTGCTACACAGTGCTATGCAGTGCTATACAAGACTCCCTTGTCCCTTTAAAAGGGGAAGGGAGGTACTCGGAAGAGAAAAAGTGGAATTAGTCACCAGCAAGATGTCGGAGTAGTATAGATGAGGAATGGCAGTGCTTGGGTGCTGCCTCTTCAGTTTTTCAAGAGTAAAGAGTAAATTCACAGGAGAGGTAAAAATACTGGCACCTGGCACTGCTAGCTCTGGAAAATAATTAAAGTCTAGATGCTCAACATTTACCTGACATCAAATAATTTTGCTACCTGACTTGAAACAGTCAAAACGTGTTGATCTGTGAAACCTTCTGTGCAATAGGAAATATGCTGAATGCGCTTTTAGAAAGGCTTGTTCAGGAAATGCATATCTCATTATATCTCATTATGCCTAAGTATTAAAGCTTTCTGATCCAGACACAGTAGCCAGATGCACAGATTAATAAAACAGGGACGGGGTAAAACTGGTCATGATATTTTAAAAGAGTAGTGTGTATGGACAATGTAGACAACCATGAAATAGACTAAATAGGCCCGGAGTACTTCAGTAAACGCTATCTTTCTACATTAGGTCTTGAGGGAGGGCTTGAAAGAAATAAAGGAGACGGGTGGGTGCACAAAGTAAAGGGAATTTGTCATAAACTTAGCAATTATCATGTCTGAAGACAGATACTTTGAAAATAAGAGTAATGTTTGTTTTGCTAATGCCAATATAATGTTTTATAGGCTGAATTGCGAGCTTTAGAAGAAGGTGATGGGAGTATTTCAGGCTCCAGTCCACTTTCTGACGGAAGTCAGTCAGATCTAGCACGGCGATTGCTACCAAAGCCAGGGAAATGGAAGCTCTTCGGAGTTGCCAGCCCAGAATCCACCAGCAGAGGTTCAAGCAAGACAGGCCAAGAGAGTCCTGAACCTGGAGAAACGAGTAAGCCAGATTTTTTTTCTGCCAAGGGCTCTTTTCAGTTCTTCAGGTACACCTATGAGTACTGAGGAGGGAACCTTCTATTTTATGAATACCAGATGTACGTATTCCTTATTTATACCATCATTTTAATGAGATACTGCCCAGTGTTCTGAAGCTTCTCATTCTGTGCAGTGTTTTAGAGGGCCTCCTTTTGTATGTAAAGTAAATAAAGCCACTACATTGAATCCAATCCCCACTGTTTAAATCTTGTTATCTGTGTATACCTTCCATTGTAAAGGTAAAGGTGTGCTGAGAACTCACTCTTACAGAATACACATTTTTGCCTTGCTTTCTGTTCAGCGGTGAAGGAAGACCCTGAAGTAGGCGGTGAGAACTCGGACCATGAAGCAGATACAGAGGAACCACAAGACAAAACAAAAACACAAGTAACTTCCAAGGTAGAAGAAGAGGAGCAAGACTTAAAGGTAGTGTTAGCTAACCTGAGCATTATGTTCTCTTGGAAATATTTAAGGTAGTATTACTGGATGGCATACTCACATTATATGTCTGTCTTCAAGCTTTTCATTGGACTACTACTTCTTGCTGCACAGTGACCAATTCAGTTTACTGCATTTTGCAGTGTCACTGTGTCAACAAGAGAGTCTGTGGAAAAGTGATTTCGCTATTGTTTTTCTGGAGGTCAGGCATGTTGAATAACTGGTTTTTATAGTAAGAACAGGATCTGTTCAGTTTGAGAAAGAGATTTGTATTGACTTTCTGATTCTTATTACTATTTAATCTTGTCTGGAGAAGTTCAGATCTTTGTAGCTTATTAGGCAGAGAACATGTAATTGTTCTTGTTTCTATTAACTTCTTGATGTGGTTCCTAATATGTTTTGAACTCACAACTAGAGTTAGATTATGCCTGTAAAGTAATATTTCTCAATGCCAATTTGGAAATACAGTAATGAAATGTAGTATACTAGGATCTATGTTAACAAGACAGGGTCAGAAACAGCACTTACACATTTGCATTTCATTGTTCACAAAGCCCGCCCTTTATGTGTATAAGTGTTGCTACTTTTAGAGAATGGAAAGTGGAATAATATCTTTCTTGTGTGCAAATAGATTTAAGTCAGTGGCTCTCAATCTGTGGGTCCCTAGATGTTTTGGCCTTCAACTCCCAGAAATACTAACAGCTGGTAAACTGGCTGGGATTTCTGGAAGTTGTAGGCCAAAACGCCCGGGGATCCACAGGTTGAGAACCACTGGTTTACGTGGTTGTGTTAGACAGCTTAGTTAATGAGTTACTTTGACAGAAGATTTCAGAAGACTACACATTTCCATCTCTCTCTCTTTGATTAAATTACCAGGACATTATAAAAATAGTCATGTAGAATGGCTGCTAAGACCAGGTGGAGTAGTCTTTTTAAACCTGAACTATAGCCACCTTTTTAAACTTCAAAACTGTGAAATATAAATGCCACATAGCACATTGTGTTGTTAAAACAGATGATGTCTGTACACTTCAGGGACAGTACTGCAGTAGATGTGTACTGTAACTGACAATGCGTTCTTGACCTCTTGCTTGCCTTATTTCTGGCAGTTTCAGATTGGAGAGCTGGCCAACATGTTGATAAGCAAGCTGGAGTTCTTGGGCATCAATAGGCAGTCGATCTCTAACTTCCACATGCTGCTGTTGCAGACTGAGGTAACTTAAGTTTACCTTTTCTTGAAAACAAATTATGGAATATAGGAAGCTAAACTACTGACAGCAGTGTAGTGTGATGAGAATCTAGGAAGCTCATGTATTATAGCATTAATAGTACTCTTTCACCTCTTCTTGTCCCTAAAACTGATTCCATTAATGCAGCATTGTATCTAAATCTAGGGTCTGTAATTTTCCTATTCACGTCTTGTATCTTTAGTCCTGGCTGCTGTTCTGAAAGGCTTTTATTGTGTAGAATTTCAGAGTTCAGTTATATAGGGCATAGATAAGGCTAGTTGTCCACAGGCTTCTAATTCTTTATTTTCCTTTGCTTTCCTTTCTCAGACCCGTATTGCAGACTGGCGTGAAGGAGCTCTCCAAGGAAATTACCTAAAACGCAAATTACAAGATGCAGCTGAACAGCTAAAACAGTATGAAATAAACGCCGCCCCTAAAGGCTGGTCCTGCCACTGGGACAGGTACGCACTCTTCTCCCCCTTTCACCTTTCACCTTTGACATCTCAGACATGATTTGTGACCATCACCACCTGCCGACGTGTCGTCATCTATCTGGAGACTGAGAGCAGCTGCAATTAGCGGTGCTGAGCGGGCAGAGAGCCTCTGGCACATACAGAGTTTGAGCCAGCCACAAAAATTGGAGAGATATAAAGTATTTTTTTAAAGTGTGTTGAAATGGATTTGATTCCGCGATTGGACAGAGCTGGTGTTTACTCTTGAGTGTAAATGCGCTAAGGAGGGTGGGCCTGGGGGGTCGCGCATGCGAGAGCTCTGTGCACATTGCAGGATCTCAGGAACTCCGCTCCCAAGTAACACCTGTGCCTTTATGGAAAGCTCACTGACCGAGGATCTCAACGAAGAACAAGATAACTCTCTCCTGCCAGCAGGTCAGACAAAACTATTTCTTCTTATATTTGGCTTTCTTGATTATTTTTGTTTATTTGAAATCTTTGCTCTTTTGTTTTTCAGCTCCCAGATCCTCTCCCTCTCAGTAGCAATTCACTATGTCTGACACCAAGAGTATCATAAATGTGACTGCAGCAGTCCATGGGGGAGCAGCCATCTTTCATAAATTGGGCTGTTTCTCTGTTGCTATTCTGGAAGGAAATGAACCCTGAGACTACCTTTTAAAAAATCTATTGCCTAATGCATCCTTGAACCATTAATTGCACACCAGCCATAAGCGAGCTGTTTTCGCTAACCCTCTGCTCTTGCAGCGGAGGCTAAGGGCTGTGATCACAGAGCCAGCACCGCAAACAGTTTGGAGTAAGCCCATTGTGCAGATCCTTCCTCAAAGCTGTTTGTTGCCTTTGTGAACAGCAGTCCTTTTGTAAGAGGTTCTTCCTGTGAGAGCAACTCCGCTATCGCGGGACAGGACCATGTAAGTGTGTCAGTGACGGGAACAGAGTGTAAAACCTTGTTTTCTTTCTTGTGATTTAGGGACCATAGGCGCTATTTCTATGTTAACGAACAATCAGGCGAGTCCCAGTGGGAGTTCCCAGATGGGGAAGAGGAAGAGGAGGGACAAACCCTAGACAATAAAGCGGAAGCTCTTTCTAAACAAGCACTGAAGGAGAAAACAGAATCTGGAGAGTCTACTGATAGTACTACAGGTAATGGACTTGGTGGATTTCCCCAAAGAACAATCACTTCATTTGGGGGAACATTTTCAAAAATTGGAATTTCACTGAGAAAGAAGTGATAGTTATGAGGAACAACTTTGAATGCTTCCTTAGAAATACTCTTGTTTATGGATTCTGCTGGTCAAAGAAAAGTTAGACTGGAGTTAGTGTTTTGGCCTTCCTCTGTCTGCATTTACACGAAGGTGACAAGTGTAATTTCTTTTTCTTTTTACTTAAGATTTTAAGAAGGTTAATCTTTCTAGAGAAAAGTGTGTGTTCTTCTGGGATGAGAACTACCATAAAAGCATGGAGGCAGGTGTTACGTTGTGTGGCTAATTAGTGCAAGAGCAGGGTAACCAGACTGTTATATGTGTCTCTCCTTTAGGTTCTCTTAGCAAAGAGACTCCTTCGAATCAAGCTGCAGCTGCATCTCTTGTGCCTCTCAGTCCATTTTGGACTGTCCTTCAGCCCTCTGTCCCTGTCCTTCAGCCCCCTTTGCCCCTGGAAATGCCTCCTCCCCCTCCTCCGCCACCAGAGTCACCCCCTCCTCCCCCTCCTCCTCCGCCACCGCCCCCTCCCCCTCCACCAGGGGAAGATGGGGAAATACAGGAAGTAGAGATGGAGGATGAGGAAGACGAGGAGCCACCCGCGCCAGGGACAGAGGAAGATGATGTCCTGAAACCTCTTCTCCGGCCAACAGTTGCCAATAGCCAGGTATGTTAGCCTTTAATACATTTGTATTGTGTTCCTTGGGGATAATTGGCTTTTCACAAAAATCAAACACTTCTGTTTGATTGTAGGCTAGTACCGATGCCAGCACATCTGTACCTCCCTCAGCTAAATCTTTAAAGAGGAAAGCTTCAGAAATGAATGCCGGATTGGTACAACGAGCTGCAACGATTGGAAGCTGTCCAGTACTTTATGGCCAGTCAGTAATAGGTACAGGTGAGTGTCATCCCTTTGAGTCTACTTTTGTTATTGATCTTCATGGCAAAATCTTTTGGAGGCATTCCCACTGTCCCATCCTTATGTTTATAGGCCCTCAGACCTCAGGAGTGAGTTTGCAACAGAATTACCTTGGTGTAACCCAGCCAGCACTCGTCAGCTATCCAGAGTGCAGTGCCCCTGTGGGACTTCCTGCCAGCGCCACGCAGCCAATTCCTTCACAAGGAGTCCCACCTGCGACCACTAGCCTTGCAGAACATCTGCCGCCGCCACCACCACCGCCTCCCCCTCCAGTGTCACCACCTCCCCATGCGCCCAAAGCACTGCCAGCAGAGAAGTCAAAGAAGATTAAGAGAGCCAGCAAAGTAAGTACTTAAACATTACGTGTTCTCTCATTTTGACAACCAAAAACAGGTCAGGCAATATAAAGTTAAAAATAGCTACCACTTTGCTAGCCGAGGCATTGAAATTGGTACATTTTGGGTGGTGACAAATACAGATGAAATATTTTGCATCTTCAGGGCACGGCATTTTAGAAATACGCTCGGAAGGTAGAAATTCTGTTCAGTATTTTTAAGAGGCCTCACTCCCTGGAGTTTTTAAAGAAATAGCCCTGAGGCATTAATATAGGCCTGGTTTATTTGCTGAAAAGTTTGCTTTATTAGCCAGTACATTGACCAGCATTAAAATGTTATGACAACTTCTGCCAAAAAGAAGAATATTTACTTTATAGTTCATAAGAGAAGTTGAGTTTATTTTTTGCCTCACGTAGCTGAGCATTCTTCTTTCCCCTATATTTATAACATGACTAGTGACAATAGAAAGTTATTCCTTAGCCACTCTCTATTTAGGTCCACCCTCACGCTTTGACATGACCTGCTTCAATGTAAGACTAAGCAAAAGTGTCAAAATAGAATTTTCCTTCCTGGTAATAAGAAGGCGATGTTCCACCTAATAATACATTCCTAACCAGTAGACAAAAGCTTTTTTCTCAGACTGAAAACAAGAGTCTCATGATTGCATCGCTCTGATATTAACAGTAGGCTGCTAAATATTTTGCTACAGAGGAAAAAAACAAAGACAAAGATGCCGTCTCTTGTGAAGAAGTGGCAGAGCATCCAGCGTGAATTAGATGAGGAAGAAAACTCCAGCTCTAGTGATGATGATCGGGACATTGTATCACAGAAGCGAATTGAAGAATGGAAACAGCAACAGTTAGTTAGGTATGACTACAAAATATGGCCCCCATTGTTCCTTCTGAAGCATCTTGTGTCATTGGATACGCTATGCTGTATTTCTGGGCATTATCAAATATTGATATTTTATAATTACTAGGAATATAGCACAGTTTATACCCACAATTTAATAATTGGCAAAGTCAGATGGTGGCTGTGGGTTGTGTCATATGTGCAAGTCTTATCTCAGAGGTGGGGAAAGTACAGTCTCTGAACTGCATGAGGGCCTCCCAAGCAGATTTTGAAGCCCTTCACATCCTCAGTTCCGTCTTTACATGCAGTAATCTACTAGTTCCTTGGGGCGTGAGGTGGGGGCTGGGGATTGTTTCCAATATGTTTTAGGCCCAGGAGTGGTACCCAGGAAGGCCTTTTTAAAACAGAAAATAACCTAGAAGTCAGCAATAATGGAATTGACCATATTCTTAGACCCTAGATTTATTTTTCCTGAGATTGCATGAAGAAGTAGAGTGGGTAGGATTTTGAAGTAAAAGGGACCCTGTTTACAAAGAGGCATAGTATGCTCTGGTTTAGGGAATTCTGTTAGTGTACTACCCTGGTGGTTGCATCGTTTTCCCATAGTGACAGTTGTGGTAGAGGAAGGCAAACAAAATCTGTAAGCTTTGAAGGGTTTCTCGAATGCAATACCCACTCCCTGTCAATGTATGTATAAAAACAAACAAATATTGACAGGGAGTCTGCTCCTTTTGACTGTATTTTTTCAGTTATTGGAATATTTCTATCTTAACTGCTGTAGTTTCCCCATTGCTGAATGGTTAGCCTGATGATTTCCCCACGTTTCTTCTTTTTACAGTGGTATGGCAGAGAGAAATGCCAATTTTGAGGCTTTGCCTGAAGATTGGAGGGCCCGACTCAAGAGACGGAAAGTCACAAGCACATGAGGCAGCTTTGGGTTATATCTTGTTATTCTTTTTTAAAACCACACATGTACAGTTTTGCTGTTGGATAAACTGTAACTTTTTAAGGGTACACATTTCTGTTGAATTACCTAACAGAGAAATGGTGTGGACTAAATCCTTTTGGAGTTGTATGTGGCAGGTAGGGCTGGGAAGTAAGGATAGGCTCGACAACTTTTGTCTTAAGCACTTCTTAATCCAGTTCAGACGAAGTTGGGATACAGTTCTATCCAGCTCACTGGCGGAGCTGGTAACAAGGACTACAGATGCACTTTGGCTGGTTCCATTTTGAATTCCACATATGCACCCCTCTCTAAACCCCAAAGTATTCTTCCAGTTTGAAATATTTCTACAAGGCATATTTGCCATTTGCAAGCTGGAGTCGCAGAACAAGCAAAGAGAGATGTCAGTTCTCCTATTGGACACAGAACTCCCTCCCATGGGAGGGTTTAAACCCATGTTCCATTCCTGTTCTTGGGAACACTTGGTTCTAGGTTGCTGCTTGCTTGACTGGAAGATTAGACTCTTCTTTCTGTCCTAAATCCTGAGTCAGTCCTGCTGTTTTCAGGGTATTTTCACACTTAGTGTTTCTCACAGAATAGCCATCTATATTTTTGGTGCTGTAACATGCCAATAGTATTGGTGTGGTGGTAGCATAGTAGGACAGAAGATAGTGTGCAGCTGCTGTCCACTGACCAACCTGGAGGTGAATCTTTCTGGCTTTCCAGGTTGGCATCTGGAAACGGACATGGGATCTGCACTGTGAGGCCCTGAGGCTACTGACTGGACTGTAAACCCTTGCCTACTGTGGATGTTGTGGGCAGCTCAGTTCAGTAGCAATGTGCATAATAAGTAGTGCTAAGTCAGCCGTGTGGCAGTATCTCTAGTAAAGATATGGAGGATCCACTCCCCCTTGCTACCTAACACATTATCCCATCTCACTGGCTGCTGCTTGATGGATGTGCATTAGAGGAAGGGAATAATTTAACGTGTCTGTTAATTGGTTTTAAGCCCCTCTTGCAAAGTTCTAGCAAAGGTGGGATCTTCTCCTATATTTAAGACCAGCCTGACTCTTTCTTGCGCCCTCTCCCTTATTTGCCTTTTTAAAAACCCAATCAAGTGATTATAATTTTCTGTAAAGTAAAAGAAAAAGCAAGCTATGGTTGAATGCAGTTTATATTTCTCCTGTTTCTGGCTTTGTAAATTTGTACATATACATTAATAAAATCCTTTTTTATACTTCGGAATTTTCCTTTTCCTTTTTTAATTGATGTCTCATTCATAATAGTACAGTTAAGTGGCAGATTGTTTGAAATATCAAATTTCCAACAGAGGGTTTTAAGAGTATCCAGTACCAAAGATACCATACTGTGGTTTTCAGCAGCACATACAAGCATCGCACACAGAGATTACTTAGAATTATACATTTTTCCAGTATTCCCAGTTCTCACACAAGCTGGAGTAGAAAGTGAAATGGGTGTGGACTGTGAGGATGAGATGGAGATGAACAGAAACTCTGGGGAGGGAATTTCCACTATGGTTTGATTTATGAGCGCTGAAAAGATCATTACTGAACTGTTATTTCCAGAAGAGCCAATGATGAGAAATGCTGGGAGTTGCAATTCAGCAGAATGTGTGTGCAGCACATCAATGAGTAAAGACTTCTGTATATATTTCAGATTTCAATATTAATGTCAAATATACATAGTATGAATTTACATAGGATTTGTGCTTCATTCGAACAGTAAAGACTGTTGGGCGAGTGGGCTTATTAACAAAAGACCCTCCTCAAAAATGCACAGCAGAATAACTTAGCAGCAGCAGCACGACCCAGCACTAGTAACCAAAAGAGATTTTTAAAAACCCACAGACCAATCTCTTCCATAGGAGGCTTTTCTTTATAGCATAATAATATGGCTACACTATTTACAATAACCAGATTTCTGTAACACAAATAAACAAATACACCGAAGCTTTCTCACACGAGGCTTCTCATACTGAGGTTTACCTCACCCTCCTCAGGACAACACTAGCTTTGACTCACTAACTATAACAGGCTTCGGCCTACTCACCCTTTCAGTGCTTGACTCGTTTTTCGCTTGGAGAAGAGACTTAAGAGAAGGGGTCGTGAGAGCCATGTTTAAATATTGGAAAGGATGTCACATTGAGAAGGAGGCAAGCTTGCGTTTTGCTCCTCTGGAGACTAGAGCAATGGATTCAAATGGCAGGGAAAGAGATCCCACCTAAGCATTATGAAGAACTTCCTGACAGTAAGAACTGTTGAGCAGTGGAATATGCTGCCTCTATTGAGCATGGCGGAGTCTCCTCCTCTGGAGGTTTTTAAGCAGAAGCTGGATGGCCATCTGACAGGGGTGCTCTGATTGTGTTTTTTCTGCATGGCAGAATGGGGTTGGCTGGAGGATGGTTGTGCAGGTACAACTGCACCAGGAGCTCCAATTTTGTTTGCTTTGCATTGAATGTTGCAGTCCTAAGTTTCAGGGACTCTGCAGATAGGTGGCTTCTTTTGGCTGCAATCATAGGGCAAGCCACCTGTCAATTATAGTTAGGTTCCCTGGTCCCGCCCCCTTTTTGGGTTTTGGAGGGAATAAGAGCCAGTTTTGGTTCAGTCCACACAGAGAAGCCTTCCATACAGGACATAAAACCCAAGAGCTCCTGTAGAAAGCTTCGTCTTCTACAGCTTGGCTGGGGAGATATACAGCCCACAGCTTGGCCAAGGATTATACAGCCTTACAGCTCCTTCGCTGAAGGACTTCAGTCAGCCATCAAAGAAACCTGAACTCCTTTTCCCCTGGAAGTCTACAAAGCTCTGCTTGGTAAGGGTCTCTCGCAGAAGCCAGAAGCAGTTGGTACCGGGTGTAGGGGCTCCACGCCAACAGAGGCAAAGACAGACTGCCCAGATTAGAAGTTAAGGATTTCCTCATTATTTAAATTACAGTTTATGAAGATAGTGCCTGTTCCCAGTGAACAAGATTGAGAGAGCCAATAGACTATTAAGAAAGCCTTGAAGTACCTGTTTGTTTTCATTAATAAAGAACTTTGTTGAACTTTTAAGCAATCTAAAGACTTTGTTTTAAGGAAATCCAAGGGCCTTTAATCTGAGGCAGCCCCAGCGTCCTGTTGGGCACACAGAGTTTATGTCCTGTATACAGTCTTATGCACAGGCCCAGCGTGCGACAGCACAATGGTCCTTGGGGGTCTCTTATAATAATAATAATAACAATAACAATAATAATAACTATTTATACCCCACCACCATCTCCCAAAGGGGACTCAGGGTGGCTTACAAGAAGCCATGCCCATCAATTCAATATACACAATATAACACAAAAACACAACAGAATATCAAAAAATAAAATACCTAAAATACAAAACCAATGTATATAAGCGACACAACAATATAAAATCAAAACATTACAACATTCAAAATGATCACCATGGGCAGGGCCAAATTCAAGGATTAAAATTTTAAAACACTGGGAGATCGGGCAATGTAAAATATCAGGGAGGGGCTCCGGGTGGTTGAGGTAGGATTTAATTGCACAACAAGAAAATAAAAGTGCTTCTGAGGGCATTTTATGCAGAGTTTGGTCAGAGATTATTCCAACTCTCTTTGACAGAAAAGGCTAAGATCTTGCAAAACTACAGCTCTCAGGATTCCATAGCACTGAGCCATGGCAGCTCACGTGGGGTCAAAAGACATTAGTTATCCCCTGAGGGCTGCGTCCTAGGACTGGAAAGGCAGCTAGGAAAGGACTAGACAAGTTCCTGAGCAGGAAAGACAAATCATGGGACACTATAGTTCGGATGGTCCATGCTATCATATTTCCAGCTTCTAGGTATATCTTGTTGTGACAGCTGAGCAATGAAGAAAGGTGATAGGAAGGAAACTTACTGGAAATGTAATGCTGGAGAAGAGTTGGGCTGCTGAGGACGCTTTTGCAGAATAAGGCCCCGCTTCATGCAGGAGTGTACAACCCCTAAAATATAGGGTGTCGCTTCTTGCATTGTCAAAGGCTTTCATGGCCCGAATCACTGGGTTGCTGTGAGTTTTCCAAGATATATGGCCATGCTCCAGAAGTATGATGGCACAACCGGGAAGATTAAGGAAAAACTATATGTGTCTGGCTATTTTCCCAGTGACCATCGGTATGCCCTAAATATACTTTAATACCTCCAAAATAAAACTCTAGAGACAAGATTAAATTAACCAATGAAGTTTACTAAACAATCAAGATGAATCAAAACAAGGTATACAAAGGTGCAGTTTGATTATGATGGTATAGAATTAGAATAATAAGGAACAGGTATAAGGTATAACTCTGAGGTAACAACAACTATATTCTATGAGATAAATATAAGATATAATGATATAAACTCTAAGTTCTGTGTGGCATGTACTATCTATGACCTCTGGGGCATGTATTCTAATCTATGAGGCAAATATTTATACTATGTAATCTATAAGGCAAATATGTGCTAAGGATGGCCTGTTCAGACTGCTAAGCCAAACCAGACACTTGACTACCAACTATAATCTATTGTCCAAAAAGAATGGAATAAAAACTCGTTCTACCATGCTCTGAGCCAGAATGGGCTGTACTAACAGAGCTCAGCCTATAGGGGGATCCTAAGCTACTACTCTAAAACTTGACAGAATGGAACAGTCCAACTACAGGAACAAACGGGTAAAAACTAGGCCAAGACTTCACAAGAAGCATTCTCTCCTGACGTTTCACCCACATCTATGGCAGGATTCCTCAGAGGTTGAGGGGTCTGTTGGAAACTAGGCAAGCGGGGTTTATATATCTGTGGAATAATGTCCAGGGTGGGAGAAAGAACTCTTGTCTGCTTGAGGCAAGTGTGATTGCTGCAAATGGCCACCTTGATTAGCATTTAATGGCCTTGCAGCTTCAAAGTCTGGCTGGTTGCTGCCCGGGGGGAGTCCTTTGTTAGGAGGTGTTAGCTGACCCTAACACCCGGTGGTACAGTGGTTACAGCAATTCTCATCCTTGAGTAAAAAAGGAGCCCCCGGTGGCGCAGTGGGTTAAACCCCTGTGCTGGCAGGACTGAAGACTGACAGGTCGTAGGTTCGAATCCAGGGAGAGGCGGATGAGCTCCCTCTATCAGCTCCAGCTCCATACACAGGGGCGGCTCAACCCAATACGCAAAGTAAGCATTTGCAGCATAGTTGATTTTGTCCTGGGGCGCTCTTGGGGGGGGGGAATAGACCTTGACATATGCGAGTTGTAGTTACTGGGATGTATAGTTCACCTAAAATCAAAGAGCATTCTGAACTCCACCAATGATGGAATTGAACCAAACATGGCACACAGAACTCCCACAAAGAACAGAAAATATATATCAGTGATTGGTTTGGGGCGGGGGGGGGGGGCAAATACTGTTTGCTTACTGTTGAAAATTACCTAGGGCCGCCTCTGGGAAAACTCACAACAACCCGGTGTCGTTTCTTCCTTACAAGCCAGAGCTCCGAATAAAGGACAACCCAAAAGCCAGCAGTACAAACTGGCTCCCCGCGCTTCTTGCACCTTTCAACTAATGGCTCGAAGAGCTGCCACTCCGCTCTCGGGCAGCCAATGAACGCAGATGTCCCGCCCCCACTAGACCCAGGTCGGCGTGGCGGGTTGCTAGGAGACGGTGCTCCGTTGAAGGAGGTGAAACAGCAGAAGAAGGGAAGTTGTTGTCGCCATAGAAGCCTCTCAGTCTCTGGGCCCAGGCTGTGGTCGTCAGAAAGAGAGGCTGGCGGGCGGGCGGGCTTGAAGGTATCGCCATTGCTGTGACCCTCCTTGGGTCTCTATATCGAGAAAAAGGCGGGATAAAAATAAAGTAGATCTATTGTTATTATGATGATGATTATTACCTTAATTAATTAAATTTAATTAATTTACCTTAAATAATTAAGCCAGAGTGAAGGGGGGGGGGGGGCAGGAGACAATTCCACCTTGTCTCCTGTGCTATTCTAACAATATAATATGGTGTAATGTAATATATTGTATATACATATAATATTTATATATTTATATTACACGTAATATTACAAATATTATAATATAATGGTATAGTACAATATAGTAATATTCAATACTGATATTGTGTAATATTACTAATATTATAATGGCATAGTACAATATAGCAATGTTTAATGCAGATATTGTACTATGCTAATAATATAATATATTGTATGTATATATATCTTGCAAGCCGCTCTGAGTTCCCTTTGGGGTGAGAAGGGCGGCATATAAATGCTGTAAATAAATAAATAAATATTATTATTACCTTACAACCTCTGAGGTCACCTGCCATAGATGCAGGCGAAACATCAGGAGAAAATGCTTCTGGAACATGACCATACAGCCCGAAAAACTTACAGCAACCCGGTGATTCCGGCCATGAAAGCTTTCATCATCATCATCATCATTATTATTATTATGGCAAATGGGGTTGTCCAGAAATTTTTAAAGTATCTTTTGAAAAATAACCTACAGTTGGCCCTCTGTATCCAAGAACTGACTCTACAGTCCTTGGTTTAAAAATACCTTGATCTTACAATTTTCAGTAAGGAGTGCAATTTTTTTACACCACGCCTGGGCAAACTTGAGCCCTCCAGGGGTTTTGGACTTCAACTCCCACAATTCCTAACAGCCTCACACTTAAGTGGCTGAAGGGGAAAAGGAAAGGGCCCGAGGCTGTTATGAATTGTGGGAGTTGAAGTCCAAAACACCTGGAGGGCCCAAATTTGCCCAGGCCTGCTCTGCAGACTAGGATACAGAGTAATGGAGTCAAATTCTGGGAAAAGAGATTCCACCCAAACATTGACTCCAGAGTCCCAGGTGTTTTGGATTTCAACTCCCACAATTTCTAAGAGCCGGTAGGCTTTTATGAATTGTGGGAGTTGAAGTCCAAAACACCTGGAGGGCCCAAGTTTGCCCGGGCCTGCTTTACACCTTTGTATATAATGGGACGTGAGCCTCCTCAGAATTTGGCGTCCGCAGGGGGTCCAGAAACCGAACCCTAAGGGTCCAGTGTATTTCTCATCTCCCACTTTGCTTTCCAGTTTTCACTAACATTTTCCCTCCCACAGTTTTGTTGTTGTGAATGGCAAAAGCCGTCCCCGCCATAGAAGCCTTTCATCTCAGTTTTTGTGGGTCAAAGTTGCGGCGATCAGAAGGAGGCACTTTTGTTGAGGTATTTTGTTGTTATTTTTATTACAGTCCAAAATCCAATGATTTTGGATTACATGGTTTTAATAATTTGGTTTTAAGGCTTAGATGTTTTAATTTTATAGTTTTTTAAAACTTTATTTTTTATTAATTATTTGACACAGACAATCTCATATATAATCAGAAAATATGCATTCAAAAATAATGAAACGTGTCTAGATCTGTATGTAAGTGGCAACTTGTACAAAATAAGTATAACGTACTTTACCATTCACTCAAGTTTAAGAAATTTTCAACAGAAAACTATTCCTAACTAGAACTGTTTCCATCTAGATAACAGCAATAGTGACATCAGCTGCCCCCCCTCCATATCATATGCAAAAATAAATAAATAAATCCCAATGTATCTTTTTTTAAAGGAAATTCCTTACAAGACAAGAAATAGATCTTCATGATCAAGAGAGTTTCAGAGTATGTCCAAATATATCCTGATATCACATTAGTAAAAAAAAAAACACATAAGAATGGGAGCAGGCAACAAAGTACTCTTTTATGACTAGAGATTTCTGACTATTTTACCTACACATGCATTGACAACTGCAAAAACCCAATTTGCATAAAGTGAAAGATGTCCAAAATCATAATCAAATGTTTCATTAACATTTTATAGTTTTAATGTATATGTTTATTTTATTTGTATGTCTGTTTATGCGGCATTGAATTGCTGCCTACTTGTAAGCCACTCTGAGCCCTTTTCAGGGTGAGAAGGGTGGGGTATAAATATAGTAAATAAATAAAATAAATATATTTATTTCTTTTCTCTCGCTTCTTTCCTAGTTTTAACTAACATTTTCTCTTCCCGCATCTCTCCTCTTATGCCATTGGAGTGGTAACATCACCCACAAATATTTGTGGGTGATCCTAAAACTCCAATGGCACGAGGAGACTGACAGAGGATATGTAGACTTGCTTTTTTGCCCAGCAGAAGATATCATTTCTACAACTCTTCTCTCTTGTTCTCTGTAAGGAGCGTCAAGCAGAGCCATCACGGCCAACAGCATGTGTCCAGCAGATCCAGCCTTGGAAGGTCTGGTGAGTCAGTATAAACTTCAGTTCATATTTACAATGGCCTGTGGGAAGTCTGTCCCTGAACTGAGTTCAGTTCAGTGCCTGAGTGGTAGGAAGTAGTGGTGGTGTCACAGAGGAGGGAGAAAGAGATAGGTTTTTTTTTCTTTTGAAGAGAGAGGGAACAGAAAGAGTTTAATGGGGGTAAATTTGTTCTCTTTTTTTCAAGTTGAAAAATATGGCATATCTGAAGAGTTTGTTTTTACTATTTATTTTTGTATTTGGAAATTTTATGAAAGTTTTGGCAAATAAGAGTCACATCAGGAGCCCAAGGGCTGACCTGCAGTGGCATAAGGTATAGTCAGATAAAAAATATTGGCTTTCTAATTTCTCAGATTTTTTTTTCACAGCAGTTCAAAGATCCTTATGAAAAGTTCATGTATCAGCACCTCCAGTACTATGGATATTTCAGAGGTAAGAACACTGAATCTGATCTGGTAGATCTGTTTTTATATTTTTTTAAAAAGACTACACTTACTGAACACCATTATGAAAACACTGGACAAACAACATTATAATTGCAACATAATAGTTCAAGAGATGATTGAAGTGCTATCTCTTTGGACAGGCCTTCTCAGAATTTTAACTTTACATTTTATTAGTATGGATGCCAATCTTTGTTCAGTGTATTTTAATACATGCATTATTATAGTAATGACAATGTTTTTTCTTAGGTGAGAGAAATATTCCTCAAGGTATTCCTTTCCTTTCTGAGAGCAAAGAAGAAAGCTCTCTCCATATGTTGAAACCAGACATCTTCGGCAAGAGAAGTACATCAGAACACAACTCAGACAAGAACCTACTCTGTAAGTGTGCTATAAGTGTCATGTGGCAGAGAAACTGATTTACTGAAAATGCCCTTCGAGCTCCCTTCACATCTGCAAAACAATTTAAAATATGCATTTTTTTCTTTGTGACAGGTTCAGTTGCATCAGAGACTGCGCGCCTTAAAAGCAAGCAACTTTTGCTCAACCTTCCAGATGGTCCTAGTGTTCTGCGCTTACGAGAACCGCGAAATCTTTCTTCTCTTCCCAATGGCAGAGATTCAGTCTTGACCCCATTCTGGCCAATAGAGTGTGAAGTAATTGAGGATAGCATCCATCACATTGGTAATCTGATTCTTGGATTAAGATTAATATTTTGCTTGAATAATGTTCACTGTAAATGTTACTGGTTTTCATTGTAAATATCATAATTGAAATTAATTTTTTTAACAATAGATCTACAGTGCAAAGGTCATTCCCTTGAATGCAACATTACATACTTCTTGGATAATATTCAATTAGTTTTCAGAATGCTTTTCTTCTCAAAAGAATAATATTCTTCCAGTTTGCATACCTCCATGTGTAAGAGATTCCCAATTTTTGATTTGTAGTGTTGGTTAGGTTACAGAATTCATTGTTTGCTGGTTTTGGCTAAGAAACCTGTTTTTATGTAGGAAAATAATATACAATGAAGTATTCATAAATGCTAGTATCTATGAATTGAGTTATGATACATTTCAATATGTTGCCAAGATATCTGGCCTGCAGCTATCATTCATTTATTATTGAACTGAATGAATTCATGAGATCACCCAGGAATCCTGTGTAGCATATCTGCATTAGCAATGTCTTGTTAATAACTTGGCGTAATATGCAGATGTAAACATGATATTCCTCTAACAATTATCTTTAATCTGTTTTTTAAAAATACAGCAGATGGAAGGGACTGATCCTCAGAATCTCTGCCTGATCATTCCTATCCCACTTAGAAGCATGGATGAACAAATAATTCCCTGCTTCCCTTTAACCGGATTCTGTTATTTTATAATGGATATAGCTTTTCCAATTAAATTGTTAATTTTGTATTTTATCTTTCAAATTATCTAGGTACCTTAACATACTGTCCTTGGAGTGCTATTGAAGTGAAATTAAATCTGGAAGTGGAATGTGTTGAGAGTAAGAATTTGAGCACTTATTGTGAACTCCTAGGAGGAAATGCAGCAGAGAAATATAATGGTGGCGGCAGTGATAATGCTAATAATGATGGTGTTGATGTCGTTATCTGTTTTGTTAGAGTGGACTCCCCCTGAACCAGAGCCTTTCTATCAGCCAACAGGAAATGAATATGCACCTGATGTAGTGGGAGAAGAGCATGGAACTGTTGTCTATTCCATAGAGCCAGGTATTTTTATTAAGTAGATCGAAATTACACTGTAAATCAGGCCTGCACAACTTGTGGCCCTCCAGGTATTTTGGACTTCAGCTTGACAATCGGACAAGCTGGTTAGGATTTTTGGGAGGGCCACAGATTATGCAGGTCTGCTGTAAAATGTGTGTGTGTGTGTATGCACACACACACACATAGACACACACAGAGACACACACATATAGTCAATTCTAGTCAAAAGGAACAATGAAGATTTGTAAAATGTAAAAACGTGAATTTAATCTTAAATTAGATTTTTTAAAACATATACATCCTGAAATGAATAGAAATACAGTTTGAATATGTCTTATTAAACATTCTTGTGACCAGAAGTTTTTTTTATCTCCTTTTTAGCCTACAAGTGAATTTGGTTCTTTTTGTTTAAGAGGTCACTTAAGAATATGGATTTTGTAGAATTGGTATACTTTCCAAACCTAGCTCCGAGAGCAAGATCTGCAGTTTGCTTTTGACAGCTCTGCCTCTTGTTCTGCAGCAGCCAAGGGTACCTGTTTCACTGGCTCTCGAGTTGGAGGGTCAAGAGAACCCATCAAGCCAGCGGCACCCTGCCCAAGAGACCCAGAAGACACCATGCTGTTATTTGAGTCTCGCTTTGAAAGTGGGAACCTCCAGAAAGCTGTCAGGGTGTGAGTAAGAATTCTGTCAATAACTGAGTGGGATTAAAGCTTTGTAGACTGAGGTTAGGATGATAGATTGGCTGTTCTTTTGGCTTTTATTATGTTCTTGTTCTGACATCTTATATGTCTTCTTTAAGTACTATTCTGGCCCTTCTACACAGCTAAATAAATCCACATTGAACTCAATTATATGGCAATGTGGACTCAGATAATCCTATTCAAAGATATTGTGAATTGTCTGCTTTGATATTCTGAGTTATGTGGCTGTGTTTTAGGACTCCATGTCTGTGAGACCACCAAAGTCTGCCAGGTGATCTTGCTTATATTTCTGAGGAAGGAACTGGCAAAACCACTTCTGAGTATTCCTTGCCTAACAAAACTCGACAAAATTCATAAAGTGGCCATTAAGTAACAGGCAACTTGATGGCAGATACACAAATACAAAATTTGTGATATATGCTTTAGATTTTTAAGTGCAGTAGTTTGACAAGTTAAACAGATTTTATTATGTTGTTTCTTAAACACTTTATTACAAATTTAAATACTATACTATAATAGTTATTCTAAAGTTGTTCTAAAGACTTCTCATTCTTGCATTTCTATAGACAGAGACAAGTATGGGCAACTTTTTGAATTCTCTAAGTATATACAAGAATAGTACAGCACCTTAAGAATTAAATAACTTTAAAAATAATTTTATTACTTTTTGAAATACATAAAAAATTGGAGAAATTGAAAAAATAAAATCAAAATTATATTAAAAAATGAAAAATACAAATGAAGTAGACAGACTATAATGCATACAGGTTCAGTCTCTATAGTGCCACAAAATCCTTTTTTATTCAAGCTTGTGACAACAGTTATCCCTGGAATTCCTTGCAGTATATGTTGTCAATTCAGCATATCTGCCATATTAATTCTTGTTCTAAGTTTTGTTAATAAAATTTATGTTATATATGGTAGTCTTTGTTCTAATTGAAGAGACATTACCTGAATACTGGGGTTTTTCTATTTACAGAATTCTGTAAATAGATATAATACCTCAATAACACTTTGTTGTTATGTCATTTCCAACCTGATGACTCTAAGGTGAACATTTCTGATTTGTTCTGAAGATATTTGCCATTGCCTTCCTCTGAAGTTGAGAGTCTGTGACTTGTCCAAAGTCACACAGTAAATTTCATGGCCAAGTAGGGATTCAAACCTTGGCCTCCAGAGTAATAGTCTAATGCTCAAAGCACTACACTGGACACCCCCCCTCCACCCCCCACCCCCCCGGACAATACCTACCATACTCTGCTGCTTTTCATTATTTTATAGATGTTTTTCTACATTGTAATTCTCAGTACAGGAAGATGAGGTTACTGCTAGCTACTAATGTGTTTTTCTTTTCCTGACTTCTATATTTCAGAGGCAAGTATGAGTATGAACTCACACTGAGGACAGATCTTTATACTAGCAAGCACACACAGTGGTACTACTTCAGAGTACAAAATACTAGGAAGGATGTAACTTACCGCTTTACTATTGTTAATCTGATGAAAGCCAAGAGTCTGTACAGTATAGGGATGAAGCCTCTCCTATATTCTCAGAAGGATGCTCAGTTGCATGGTGTTGGCTGGATAAGAGAAGGCAGTGACATCAAATATTATAAATACAACACAGAGGATGGTCAGACCTTGTATTGCCTCACTTGGACTATGTCTTTTCGGCACAGCCATGACACATGTTATTTTGCTCACTTCTACCCCTACACCTATTCGGATCTACAGCGCTATCTCTTGACTTTGGTGAACAATCCAGTCTGTTCTCAGTATTGCAAACTTCGCCCTCTGTGCAGTAGTCTGGCTGGGAACACAGTATATCTCCTCACTATTACCAACCCATCTAAAAGTGCTGCTGCATCTGCTGCAAAGAAAGCTATTGTGCTGAGTGCCAGGGTCCATCCTGGAGAGACAAACAGTTCCTGGGTGATGAGAGGCTTCCTGGATTTCATCTTAAGTGATGCCCCTGATGCTCAGCTTCTTCGGGATCTCTTCATATTCAAGATTGTGCCCATGCTTAATCCAGATGGAGTGATTGTGGGAAATTACCGCTGCTCACTAGCAGGAAGGGACTTGAACCGGAACTACAGGACACTATTGAAGGAATCATTTCCTTGCATTTGGTACACTCGGGCCATGGTCAAGAGGTGAGCAATTAATTTCCAATAGAATAGGCTCTACCTAAGTTATTGGCTTTAAATTGCATTAGTGAAGCAGGCTGATATGCTCAAATAGTAATAGCCAAATAGAAATGTATTACATGCAAGGGTATCTGGAGTTTATAATATGCAAAAGGAAAGGGTGGTTGACAAATTAATAGCATGTACTCAAATTGTTTGAGTGGGGGTTGGAAAGATAAAACAAAGTGGACTCTGACAAATTGGTGTAATTATATAGTTAATATGTTAAATGTGGAAATAACAAATTGTAAATTGAACAATAAAAATAACATAGAAAATGTTATAATAATTAAGAGTATGTGAGATCCAGTTATGAATTATTTAGCGAATGTATTAAGCTGTGGGAAGGATAAAAATGAGATTAAGACTGATATTTCAAATGTAATTTCTGTAGTTTATTGTATAATGAGTATGCAAGGGGAAAGGACAATAAAATAAATAAAATAATAATAAATATTTTTAAAAATAGATTTTTCTCAGAGAGTGCATAGAGGAAGAATCATATTTGGGATGTTATAAACAAAGAACAGATTGAATACAGTAAGCAAAATAAAGAAAAAAGTCAAAGAGAAGTCTGATTTCATACTTGATCAATAGTTGTGTGGATGCTAATATCAATAGATAAAAAAGAGAATAAAGAGATGACGGCTTTGAAGAAAGATATACAATTTGTTTCTGGGCATATCAAGCTTGGATGATGACTAATCATGAAAGCTGAAATTTCAGAGAGGAATGTTGTAGTGAGGAATGGTTTGATTCCAGCATGTTGGTGGTGGTGATGTAACTGAGGAATGATAGATAGATAGATAGATAGATAGATAGATAGATAGATAGATAGATAGATAGATAGATAGATAGATAGAATAACAGGATAGTAGTAGAGAAAAAAGCAGAGGAAGAAGTTCCTCCACAGAAAGGTTGAAAAGCACAGACAGACAGATGTAAAGAGAAGTGACAGTGGGTGCCATATAAGGTGAAGTGATTATTGCATTTTTTTCTAGAAAGATGTGTTGATTTGTTATTTCCATTCATGGTGAATATAAGGAGTGACATATATGAAGAGCCAGTGAAACTGTAAGAGTGTCTGTCTGTATTGTTGTGTTGTTTCTACAGCTGTCACACTTTCTTCGTTACTTGCACTGCATGGAACTGAAATGACATTATGCCAGCATTAGTTTAAATAGTAATGGTCACTGGTATAAAAGCTTCAGTCACTAAGGAATTTTCATTTGGCTTGTTCCAAATGCTTGAGTTTCCATATCAGTCAGAAATAGCACTGTACAGTTGCTTATGCACAACTGGCCATCCATGATTCAGATAATTAATTTATTCCTGTATGCTTTGTTCTTTTCTATGCAAGAGTCCTTGAGGAACGTGAAATTCTGCTGTATTGCGACTTGCATGGGCACAGCCGGAAGAATAATGTTTTCATGTATGGCTGTAACAACAAGCGAACAAAAGAACTGTTATTTCATGAACGAATCTTTCCTCTTATGCTGAGCAAGAATATTCCTGATAAGGTGATGCCTGAGCACAGTTAATAGGATTATCTTCATATTCTCACATGCAATTAGCTAAATAATTTGTTCAGATGAAATAATGTACAGGTACAATTGGTATCAACCATGAAATAATTTCACCTGCATAGCTGGCAAAACTGCAGCAGGGTATGAGGGAGATAGGTAAAGATTACACCTTACTAGAAGCCAGAGAACCACTCAGCCTTCCTCTTGACCCAGTCTCAAACGAAATCATTACAAGTGTCTGAAGCTGTGTTTTCAGCTCTATGTGAGGATCATAGAATAATAGAGTTGGAAGAGACCACATGAGCCATCTGTTTCAACCTCCTGCCATGCAGGAAAAGCACAATCAAGACATTTATTCCTATATTATTGCCCAGGTATTGTTAAAATTTCTGTCAGAGACATTGTTAGAGTTATTGAACACATTTTGAATAGCCAGCTGCTGTATCATGTTTTTCAGTAGAACAGATGAATTGTGCTTGAACAGTTAGCACTTTGAAAAAGAGAAAATAAAATAATTCTGTTTTGCAGAGCACCTCTTGTAAAGTCCTCTGAAAGCTCTCTGCAGGAAGAGGGACAAGTAGTTCTGTCATGTCTTCACTCTTCTTCCTTTGAAGGAGAAAGAGAGAATGACTGCAACGGTAGTAGCAGTTTTGGCATCCCCTGCTAGCGATCAAAAGAGGAACCAGGAGCATCTGGAAACAAGCTTTTTTTCAATTGCTTTGCTTGTAAGGGTCATGGGAATATAGGCACTTTGGAAGGATTGACTGAGGAAATAGCCTGAACCATAGCACAGGTGGCTTTCTCTTCCCTCCTTCCCACAATGCCTTTACTTCCAGGATTCTTGAGTCTAAAGCATTCAGTAGACAGCTTCATGCTGCCACATCCTCTTTTGATGCTTATAGAAGAATGCTGGAGCTATTCCTGCTGTCATTGCTGTGTTTCCAGTCCCCCCCTCTTCCTCCTTCAATGATCAGGTGTGTGCAGAAGTGCCACTGCCATCCCTCCTCTCTGAAGAGAGAACCAATTGGTTAGGTCACCTTTGCAGATGCCTCTGCTCTTGTGTTATCTGAAGTTATTAGAGGAACCCCCCCTTTTCAATATTGTAGGAAGACACTGTGCATCTTGCCTCAAACTGAGGAAAGATTGTCCAGCTCTCACTTAATGAATGATTTAGAATATGTGTCTAGTTTTGTGTCTAGTTTTACATACTATCATGTGTGCCTTCAGATTGTTTCTGATCAATGGCAACATTAAGATGAGCTTATCACAGAGTTTGCTTGGCAAGATTTGTAAAGAAGTTTGTCATTGTCTTCCTCTGAGGCTGAGGGAGAGTGTCTTGCCCAAGGTAACCTAGTGATTTTTACAGATTTGAACTCTAGTCTCCAGAGTCATCATTCATCACTCAAACGACTAGACGTTGCTAGCTCCTGGGAAAGATTATTAAGCAACATATATACTAACTAATTTATACACTATTATGCCTAGTTTAAAAGGAACATTATACACGGGTCTTAAAAATAAATTGCCTCAAAGAACAAATTCTGAATTAACACATCTGGATATTATTCAGTTTTCTTTCAACAGCTGTAAGTTTCGGGTCCAAAAGTGTAAAGAAGGCACAGGACGGGTTGTGATGTGGAGAATGGGAATATTGAATAGTTACACTATGGAGTCTACCTTTAGTGGGTCAACACTAGGTAAGTGCCTATGTTTATCCAAAATTAGATCAACCAGTATATTTCAAAGAAAAGGTGGAGATGTTTCTACTTACAGTAATGAGAGACTATATCCTGTGAGATGTGTGTTCTCATGGTTGGACTGAATCATGGTGAATTACAGGTGCATTACAGAAATAAAATAAGATTTTAAAAATAAACCATTCATGAAATAACAAGGTAATAAAGCACAAGCAAATGTTCTCCAAAAATGCAACCACGAAGGAGTCATACAGCTTCTCATTTATTGTTATCATAGACTGTGTCCAAATGACTGTTCTGAAAATTACATTTTACATAATAATTACAATAGCAGTGGATGCCTTTGGAGATAAAATTGCATTTTTTCAGCTGCACTCACAGAGTGTGAGTGGTAATGAAAACAGAGATGTGTGTATATGCACCTTTGGGTTGCCTACTGACATAATGGTGACCTTATTAATTTCATAGGGATTTCTTAGGCAAACAATGCTCAGAAACAGTTTTGCCAGTTCCTTCCTCAGAAATACAGCCTACAGTACCTGGTATTAATTGGTGGTCTCTCATCCAAGTGCTAGCCAGAGCTCACCTTGCTTATAAGAGCAGACAGGATCTAGTGCTTTTAGAGTCTTTAGTCCCAGAAGGTATGTTACTTAATATGAAATCACAGCATTTTTAATGAAGTTAGGTTCTATTTGAGCAAACATCAAATGTAGTAAAAGATGTCATAAGATTATATCTTTCTTTTAAAGAAGAAAAAAAACATTTGGAAGGGAGCCAACTGGTTCTAACTAGTGCTATAGTAACAAAGGAATTGTTACTCCTGCCTGAAAAATAATATAGCAGACAGAGGAACAAAAAACAGAGGTCATGCAGAAGAACACATGCTCTTGAATTCTATGTTGGCTATAGGAACCAAATGAACAGATTGACAACACTGCTTGGTAGATAAAGTCTCACTTTCCCAAATACATTAGAAAGAGAAAGAGAAAAGTGAGATTTTAGGAATCGTCTTATGATTTTTCCCCCCCTTTGATTTTAATAACATGGTGTGCCAAAGAACATAGTTGTCTTGATGACCATGGATATTATAACAAAGTAAAGTACTTCATCTGACAGAGAAATGCTAGGCATCATTTGCTAAATATGAAAGAAATTGTGCATTTCTCTTTCTCAGGCAGGAAAAGTAATTCTCATTTTACCTCTGAAGATCTCAAAACTTTGGGCTATCATATCTGTGACACTTTGTTGGACTTTTGTGACCCTGACCATTCCAAGGTGAGAATTCCCTGTTATGACTGAGCAGAATGGGAGGATAATAATGGAGTGGTCATTATTCTGAATATTCCCTGATTTTTTGAGATAGGTCTCTATTTTTTTTACTTACCATTTCTTCAAAAAGGCTTCTACTTCAGTACTTTAGAAACAGCCACAAATGTATGAATTCATAATGTAGGAATGGACAGACAAAAGTTAGAACTTAAGAGTATTCATGATGGATCAGACCAAAGGCCCAGTTAGGTCTCTATTCTCTTCCCATGTGGCCCAGCGGAAATATATGTAAAGTGGGCATATGTACAACAGTACTTAGCTTATAATGTTGTTGAAATCCTGGTATTTAGAACCATTCTGTCTCTTGACACTTACAGTAATATATAGCTATAATCATGACGTTTTATACATCTCTCCTCTGTCCTGTTACTCACAATTTTTCTAAATAGAGTAGCTCTAAACATTGTAACCTTACTCATAAGAAAGTTGCTGTAACTCCTTCGACATGTTGATTGCCCTTTTCTGTACCATTTTCAGCTGTGGTGGTTAGAATCGAATTCCAAGTGTGCTTGCACCAGAGATTTATTTACTATATTTATATACCACCTTTCTCACCCCAGGGAGCGGGGACTCAGGGTGGTTTACAACATTCCAATGGCAAAAATTCAATGCCAACATACATGTGGACAGAAAGACAATCATAATAACTAAACACTAACATATAACTATAAATTATATCATTAAAACCATTAAACATGAGACATAAACAACAGGTTTGCAGGAATGATTTTGGCTGTTTTATTTTCACTTTTTTCCTTAATGGTTCTCAAAATGTATCCTGGGTTGTCATCTTCCTTAAATAAGTCACCACAACTTCAAAATCTCTTCCCTAGTTGTCGCTGCCAGTTCAGATGTATTGGTGTAAATATAAAGTTAAGATTTAGTGTTTATTGCAGTGCAGTAGTGTGGCATTGTTTTCTCTGTGTACACTAATCTGTTAGGTTGCAGAATGGACTATGCATAAGCAAACACACAATGTCTTCCATTTGCCGTTATTCTCTTTTCATCTCCCAGTTTCAGCAATGTCTGTCTGAACTGAAAGAGCTAATGAAGCAAAAAATACAGAGGAAGCTTTCAGAGTTGGGCCATGAACAAAATACAGATGGTACATGGAGTGACATATCTCTGTCTGATGTTGAATCAAGGTAATTCAATTCTTCAAGGCTTCACTTAAAGAGATAATGGGAAACTGTTGATTCATTCAGAGATGCTGTAAGATAGCCAGCCTGAGAGATTTCACCCCACCATAGTCCTTTGTTTTGTTCAGAAAGGTAAACCCAAGAATAGTGGTGACACAGGAAGCACATATTGCTATTCTGTCTGCTTGTGCTGATATAGCTATTTTATAAAGTTTATATCTTACTCTTATGTAATGAAGGATCAGGTAAAATGGAATTAATCCAGAAAAAACTGGGATATCCCAGTTTGCTCCAGGTTAATTAAACACCTGGAAAGATCTGGACCTTAAGCTAAGGTATTTGCAGATGAGAACCCTGTGGGGATTGACTCCTGGGACTACTGCAGTCCCTGAGGTCAATCTTCATAGCAATCCTGGTTTTAAGCATCTTAAGTAACACCTACCACTGTAAAATATGTATGTCTTCTAGGACTTTTTATGATATGTGTAAGTTAAAATTTGAAAAGCACAGAACATGTTTGGCAAGGCTATATATCCACAACATTGTGTAAACCTGTTATTCTGAATAAGATAGAACTAAGGCTCCATCTACACTGAGCATGTTATGCAGTTCAAAACTAGCTTCAAATTATGGTGGCTAGACAACAGACACTCACACAAGCACATGAAAGAAAGTCCTTAATGTCCATCAGTGCTCTGTGGTTTGTATAATCAGTATCAATGCTTGAAACTGGTTCCAGGATTTCCTGGAACCACTTTCAGGCAAAACCATTTTCTTCAATACTGTTTTGAAACTGATTAAGTGCTCTGGGTAGTTATATCCTAGGAAGCATGAACCACCAAAGTAAACAAGGTTTGTTATAATCCACAGAACATGTTGTCCTTTTTTCTTAATTAGCACAAGTGGCTCTGACAGCTCCCAGTCTGATGGTCCCCCTGCACATTTGATCAGCATGATAGAGAAGGTGAGAGCCATTCATTTTTGTGTGTGAACATGGAAGAAAGCAAACCATGTACGTCCTAGCCATTTGTAGGAACAATAGTTTTCTTCCAGAAGGGCTATTGCTTTTAGTGAGTTGGAAAGACACAGTAACAGGAAGTGTGGCCTTTGTTGCTCAAACAAGAAATCACACATACTTCAAGGGAGCTAAAACTAAGGAAAATTGAATGATATATATTAGTGGGTTTTTTGGTAGATTTTTTTTATACTATTTGTATTAATGTATTATCAGCAGAAACATCTGATGCTGTTATAAGCTATTCAAACATGCAAAATTTTGCATTTCTCTATATGGGGAAGGAACTATCCATCATCAAGACACATAACTGTCCACTTTCACTACTGTTACTTTTTTTGAAGGAGCCTGAGAAAAAAGTTTGTCCTGAGCTAAGGCATAAGAAAGAACTGAGGGATGATCTATTCTAATATTTTTTTAATGACAGGTCATGAAAAGGTGAGCTGCTGGTTAGGAAACCTGCAAATATAGTGCTAGCCAAATGGCCAAGTATTTTATGTCTAGATTTATGGACTGAGCAGTGTTTTTTTAAGCAAATTGTGGGACATTAAGAGCCTGACATTAAGCATACTGACACATATTCAGTAGGACCTGGCTCCAATGTACGTATACATAGGAATACGGTATAAACTGCATTATAGCATAAGTAATTTTAGTAGTGGTGGTGGTTACATGCCTTCAAGTCATTTCTGACTTATGGCAACCTTGAAGTGACCTATCATTGATTTTTCTTAGTAATATTTGTTTAGAGGGACTTTGCCTTCCTCTGAGGCTGAAAGAATGTGACTTCCTCAAGGTCACCTAGTGGGTTTCTTTGGCTGAGCAAGGACTCAAACTGGAGATCCAAAGTCATAGTTCGTGCTCAAACCACTACACCATGCTGGCTCTATAAATATATATGAAATGTGGAAACATTGATACCTGAACAAAGAATAAATGATCTCATGTTACTGATGTATTTGAATGGTAACAGAGAACATTTGGTAAACTTTTTAAATTCCTCTGGAGGATTATAATGAGAAGAAGAAAAAGAAGAAAAATAAACATCTACGCACAAGAAAGGAAAGGAATAATTTGCATCAGAATCATGCTCAGAGACATTCACCAAAGGACAAAGAAGATGTCCCGGTAAGAGGCAGATTATATGCTTTCATTTTTATTAAACAAAGATGACCAGCTAGTAATATTTCCCAATATAATGCAAAATATCTTTTCTGTTTGAGTCTTGATGACGTTCTCTTTACGGTTGTACTGTAGATATGGCATTTTGCAGTCATTCTTGTAAACAAATTGTTGTTTACAAAATTCAGAGATATTTGTATCCCTCGCACACATTTTTGTGTCCCCTTTTGTTGGATTTATAAAGGTATTACCCTTATACATTTGTAATTACTGTTTTTCATAATTTGTCAACATTCTTATGGTATATGTGCTATCTCCTCTTGCAGCATGCTTGTTTTAAATAATAACACACATGTGCATATGCCTGTGCAATGAAGGACTAATCATGTTGTATGAAAAAAAAATGTCAGAGAAGAACTTTTTGTATCTATGTAAGTCTGGGAAATAGTCTGGGATATCCAAGGGCAACTCCACCCCCCCCCCCCAAAAAAAAAACCCACATTTGTCAGAAGCTTAAAGAGATTTGAGGGTTTGTAGTTAAACACAACTTGTAAAAAGAGGACTACAATTAACAGAACATCTCCGAAAGAAAAGGTTTTTAACAAGTAATTTTGGTGATGTTAAAGAGAGAAGGACAAACATCCTCCGAAGGGAAGATATATTAAACATATATATTTAAAAGGTAAATTTAATGACAATGCACTACTGAAGGAATAATGTGTTTATCACTTCCTTTTTTTCTTACTTCTTGTGCATAAGTGATACAGTTGGGGATCTTCACCCTCAAAAGAAACGAAGGAGAATAATAAAATCGCCATATAAGCTAGAGGAGTTCTTGTTACTTGTCATTAGTAATATAGTGGAAGCCCTCTCCATTGGTTCTTGCTCTATCACCAGTTAATTTGCCACATTTCTCTTCAATACCTATTTTATAGTTGATCAACATTAGTTTCAATGATTCCTTGTCTCATAAAGACTAACTAGATTATGATGGGAAACAGGTAATTCTCAGATAATTTTTTAATGATGTATTTGTTATGCAGAACTGTTTACTGGCAATTTGGGCAAACAACTGCAACTTTTTATTTCTACCTTCCAATTGTGTTTTTAAAAAGTCCCAAGGGGTACACATGCCTCTCTTGTTGTATATCATGCTGGGTCTTCGCAGACAATGCTATCTTCTTTTTGAAACCCTGCTATATTTTCCTATCACTGCATCTATTGTGATTAAACAAAAGCTAATGAGCAGGGGAAAATGTGTCTTTAACTTGCTAGAGCTATGAGTCACCTGTCTAGGGAAGCATCCTAAAACTTTATGGTATCCTCAGAGAAGATAAAGAATTATAATAAAGCTTGCTTGAGAGCCATTAAAACACAACTACTTCAGTTTTCAATTAAAGTATTGGGAAACTATCATCAGCAACATTCTGAGGGAAGGCATTTCTTGGGTTGAAAAGACTGCTATTAATTATGACTATGAAGTTCTCTTAGGAATACATTCAATTGGGTAGTTGGTGCTTAGGTGATAATTGTTGCTTGCTCTCTGTTAATTTATAAATGATTGAAATAACACCTTAAAATAGTTCTCTTGGCAAGGTGATCAACAATTTGAATGTTTGCTTTTGTAGCACTACTCTACAATCTGCTTTACATGAAAAAAAAATTTGAATGTGTTAGATTTTTAATTTATGACTTCCACGAGGGTGGCTTTTTAAAATATTTTATTGTTAATTTAGTCAAATTTATTTTCTTCTTCAGCAGTCATGAAAAGCAGACACATAAATAAGAAATAAACAATTCAGGATTTCTTGATTATTGCTCGAGGACATCAATCATTAGTTGATTCACAGAGTGATATTTAAACTGCTTGTTCTCACAGCTTGAATTCATATTGATCATATTTTACTATTCATACTATTTCAGTAACATTTCTATCCTTACCTGCAATCCCTTCTATTTGAATGTGATTTTTGTTGTTGGTTTTGCTAGCAGAGGGTGGTCAAGGAGTGGAACTGCTGGGAGTGATTTCTGTCTTGCCGTTTTCCACTTAACCCATCTTCTCCACGCTTTCCCAAGCACACATCCATTTCCATTGCTTGCCCCTTCTGTTTAGATCAGACAAAGGGAAGCAAAGGATGGGAATGGCAGAAACCAAACAACCAGTTTCAGTCAATTAGTAATAAAAATAGTTCAGAGTTCAAATGGCTCCTTCTTTGCATGTCAGAAGTCTTTCAATGGTATGCATCTTTAATCTTGCAATGATTGACATGGTGCCTTGCAAACACATAGTGGTGGTATATATGTCACAGAAAAAGTAATAGGAAAATATGCAAAGGCATTTTCCCAGGTATCATGGTTCACATCCATTTTGTAGTTAAATCTAGTTGTGCTCACCAGAAAGACTGGAGATCAGTGTAGGCAAAGTGGAAAAGAAAAAGGGCAAAGATCAAGGGGGAGAATCCAGTGACTGAAGGCGCACCACCTCTAAATCCCATCTGTTCTAAAGAAACAATAAGAAGTAGCAATACATATAGAAAAGGTGTGCAGTATTGTGTATTGTTCTCATTTATCTTAAAACTGAAGAAAGTTTATTGGATAGTACTATATGTTACCCGTGTAAAGAAAGCTGCTTTCAGATGTATGTTTTTTCAGCCGTCTTGCTATGAGTTTCAGGGTCTGAACTCAGAATTTTCCACACATAAAGCATGTATTCCATTGCTGAGTAATACCATATGTACCATTCATTTTCTCCAAAACAATTACTGTATTCTGACTAGAAGAGATAACCAATATATTTCCATTTTTCAGTTACACATCCATGTCTGTCACTATTGATATTTTTGACCAATTGAGAATAAACTTGCATGAGGCATTTTAATACTGATCTCAACAGAGCCAATATTTCTACTGATTTGTGAAGAACAATTTTCCACTTCTAATGAGATGGTAATTGATATTTGGCTATGGTTTTGCGTTGTGTAGAATTATAACAATGTGCTGTATTTCCTGCACAGACTACCCACCATTTTGCTGTGTTCCACTTACTTTGTACTAAACTATAATTATCTCTGTCTGATGGTCTCCTCTGTTGGATTTCTGGACTCACTTCTGCTTTACCTGTTCTGATTGGAATAAGATTGCTCTGTTTTGGGAGATCTTGCTCAGCTTTCCTGCTCAGCCTTTTTTTCTCACTTTGATTTAAGAGTGGGCAAGGACACACTCTCTTTATTAAATTCCTCCAGGCAAGCACAATTTCTCCAAGCTATGGAAAGTGTCATAGCCTTTCCAAAGGATCACAAAGAAACATCAATTCAGAACAGAAGAGAAAGCAGATGAATCGAGTAATCTTTATGTATCAGGTCGGTTGTGGACAATAATTTTCCATTAATGCTCAACATACATGCAGTGATTTTCAGACAAAATATAAAAGAGTCTAAATATAATAGGTATGCTCAGGTAATTTAGAATATTTGTAGTCCCTGAGTAAATAAAGAACTGTGTTACAAAATAATTAGATATGCATTTGAAACACACCTCTTGAAAAAATATTTTAAGTAATACTAGAATTATCATAATATTAAATCATCATGAATTCTTTTGCATTTAAATACTGTAGGTCAGCTGCAAAATGATATGGCACAACTCAGTGTAAATCTTAATCCAAATAATTTGAAATTCATATTTCTGAGATGAGACATTTCAGTTTCTAAATGAAAGTTCTCTTAAGTTCTGTTCAGGAAATAAAACAAATATAGAGTGGTAAAAATAGTAAATAAGTAAGCCCTGTAACAATCTTAATGATTAATTGATCTATCTGTCTACCTATATGTAATTTGGCCCCACCATTTTCTATTCCAAGGATGAGAAATTCGTAAGCCTTCTGGGGCAACTTGTACATTACTCCACCATTAGTGTGTCTGAGTTTGATGTAACCATCATTTGGAAAGCCACATAACCCTTGTTCTGGAACTTAATAAGCTTCTTAATGGGGAAAAACAGCACCAGACGTCAGTTTTAATTATTAAAATTGCTTTCACTGATGATGGCAGCCAAAGGTCACTTTTCAGAAAACTAGAAGTATTTATCAGGTCTGGAGGAAGCAGGTAATACAGGAACCCAAACCATGAAGATCCAAATCTGGAGGAAACAGCTGTTATAGAAACACTATAGGGACTGACAGTATACTTTGAAAATGAAAATATTGCTTTGACAGTCACGGCATAGATCACAGCTATCTGTGGTCTTGTTAATGTACACAGCAAATAGATGCATTTCTTACATAATAAGAATTACAAATACTTCATTCTTTCCTTTAAATTTTTGTATATGTTATAAATTAAGAACACCTCAGGTACTTAGTCAAGTATTAAAATCCATACAAAATAAAAGTGAATCATTTTAATGATTTCTAAGATCAGTATTTGTATTAAATAGTGTAAATAGCTAATCAAAATCACAAAGGCAAGCTTATTAGATTTCCTAAGGTAAAAAGCACATTACTTATTAATGAGACAAGATGTAGTTACAGAAATGCTTTGAGTAACCTTTGGAACACATTGGCAACTTGTTTCTTGTTATACAGCCTAATATATTTTTCAGTAAATAATAATGGTGATGATGATAATAATAATAATAATGATAATAATGATAATAATGATAATAACTTTATTTATATCCTGCCCTATGTCTCCTTGGGGACTTGTGGAAATAGTCTCCTAACCTGTAACATGCCGTACATTTTAATATATATATATATATCTACTTTATAATTTTTTGACTTTTGTCTGTGCTGTATCATAGAAATACCTACCAGTTGTTTGTAGAGAGATTATTCTGTTTTATAGGGTGTAATCCATATGTTACATCCATTTGTATTATAGGATTTCTTTCTACCCTTCTCTTTTCCACTTCCCCCTTGAAAATATGTTCTGAGATCGCAGAGGTGAATCTATCTTTCTCAGTTTTGCTAACAGAAGCTGTTTCATTAATGGGAGGATTGTCCTGAATTCCACTCGATGTGAATGAAAGAGCTTTTGTATTTTGCTAGGTATGGGAGAGAATTTAGTTTTAATTTGCCTTCATACAGGCAATATGCAAACTGAAAAGCGGTTATATGTCAATAGTTGCACTTCTCTAAATGTATTGGAACCCATTGCTCCATTGTATCCCAGTCTTCGGGGCAGCCGAAAACAAGCCTGCTTCCTCTTTCTTATAACACCCGTTCACATATTTAAACATAGCTATCATGTCTCCTCTCAACCTTTGCTTCTGCTAAACATGCTCAGCTCTTTAAGCCACTGCTCATACAGCATAGTCTGCAGATCTTTGATCATTTTAGTTGCCTTTCTCTGGACATGTTCTAGCTTGTCATTATCCCTCTTGAATTGTGGTACCCAGAATTGGACACAGTATTTCAGGTGAGGTCTGACCAAAGCGGAATAGAGAGGCACTATTACTTCCCTTGATCTAGACACTATACTCCTTTTGATGCAGCCCAAAATCCCATAGGGTTTTTTAGCTATTGCATCACATTGTAGGTGCATGTTCAACGTGTGGTTGACGAAGACGCCCAAAAACTTTTTCACATGTACTGTTGTGGAGCCAGATACCTATCCTGCATATGTGCATTTCATTTTTTCTCCTTGTTAAAATTTATTTTGTTAGTTTTGGCTCAAATCTGTTATTGTCATTTTTAATTTTGATCCTGTGTTCTAGAGTATTAGCTGTCCCTCCCAATTTGGTGCCATCTGCAAATTTGATAAGCATGCCTCTAAACCTTCATCCAAGTCCTTAATAAAGAGGTTGAACAGCACTGGGCCTAGGAGAGAACCTTGTGGTACCCCACTAGTCACTTCTTTCAGGATGAAAAGGAGCCATTAGTTGAGCACCCTTTGGGTTCGGTCACTTAACCAATCCCCAGTCCACCTAAAAGTAGCATTGCCTAGTCCACAGTAGTATTGTCTAGTTTTTGTTGTAGGCCTTGAAGTTACTCCTAATTTATTGTGACCCTAAGTCAAACCTATTATGGGATTTTCTTGGCAAGATTCATTTGGGGTGGGGTGGTTGCCATTGCCTTCCTCTGCTACTAAGGAAATATGATGTGTCCAAGGGCATCCAGTAGGTTTCCACAGATGAGTGGGATTTGAACACTGTTTTCACGGAGTCCTAATCCAGCACTCAAACTCCACACTGGCTCTTGAAAATACTTAGCTCTATAGTATGATTAGTGAAGGAAGTCCTTTCACTGATGTGGATTACAACATGCCATGACATTAGACTGGTTTTCAGGAAAAGGCGAGTACAAATAATGTTCTACACACAAACATCTTGTTATGTGCACAACAGTGGAAATCTAATTTTGTCATTTTTACTCATTTGTATTCTTAAGTATACATTTGAATATGGCCTTCCTATTTTATTAAAGGCTTTCTCTGTTGAAAATGAAAAGTGGTATGTCAAACAAGCTGTAGAAACCATACCAAGGCTGGCTTCCAAGATCATAATTCTTTATTATAACTATTTTTAAAAAGTTGCTAAGACTTTCCCCCCTGAATAGATTATTAGTTTTTATAGAGCTTGGAAATACATACTTGTTGCCTTGTTTAGTTAAGTCAATCCTGGTTAATATTATTTGGGTTTACTATGAAAGCAAATCTAGATAACTGGTGATTTTAGCTTTTATTTGTTCATAACTTATTTTTCTTTTTGCTATAACCTGTATTTGGTTACCTAATAACAGGCACACAATTGTTGTGTTAATTGTTGCTAGGCACACTAATATCACTACCACATCATAAAAAGAAATTACAGTGTTAAAACTATTCAGTGACAATGATGCCTAGATTTCTCACAGCACATGCTAATACAGCAGGTGTCTTGCTATGTCTGCTTATATAGAGCTTCCTTAAATAGTAGGCAGACAGTGCCAAAAAATCCATTTAAAGATTCTACTCATCATAATGATATACTGCCAAAAAAAAAAGAAAGAAAGAAAGAAAGAAAAGAAAAGAAAAGAAAAGACAAGTTTATTTACAAGTTACGAACTACACCCAAAGTACAAAAGGCTTATGGAGATGTACAAAATGTATAAACAATATAAGAAAACTAGAATTTACTTATTATTTAATTTTTCTTCATATAGGCCCAACATACGGAAAATTCTGTCTGTTCCAGTTTACAAAGAGAAAACCTGAATAACTTTCAAAAGTTCCAAGGTGAGAAATTTTCCCTTGCACATACTGTAGAAAATATATTTGTGTAATTTTGTGTGTATGTCCATAGATTCATGTATATGCAATGCAAAAGGATTGTGCAAGGCTGGATCTACACTGCTCTATATCTCAGGATATGATCCCAGGTTATCTGCTTTGAACTGTATTATATGAGTCTACACTGCCAGATAATCTGGGATAAGCAGATGATCTGGAATATAGGGCAATGTAGGGGCTCTTGTACATTTAACTAAATCCCAGGAGGAACTGGGTCATTTAAACTGAGTTCCTCCCAGGATTTAATCTCCACACCCTCCCTGTGTGGGGTGGCTACATGTCTTCCTGGGTCAACCACAGTCAACAAGGAAGGGCACCCAGCCACCCTCCAACCCCTCATTTCCCTGTTAAAAACTTACCTGCTGCATCAGAGGGAAATCCCAGTATTCTCTGGATTAATTTTGTTTTACCTGAGGCATCATTTGGACGCCTCAGGTAAAACCGAGAAAGGTCTCAGATTAAAGGCCTGTCTGGAAGGGACCTTGAAGGGGCTTCAGAATGTTTTAAACAGGAGTTTTTGGCACAACATCTGTTATTAATACTTTTAAAACAAAGGTTCTTTTATTGCTTTTTCAGTGAGAGAGTATATCAAAGCAACTTTTACAATTTTACACAAAGAATGTCACAAGATATATAAAATTCTATATAACTACATTGGCTATACAAACAAACTACAGCTACACTGGCTAACAAACAAGGGAGATTTTGCCACATCTACTCAGCATTCACACACATTCACATTCACACTTCACATGCATACATCCTGAAGAAGAACACCTGCACTTAGGCCAGATTGCTTCCCTGCAAATCAGACAGTTTTCCAGTATTTCCAAAACGTATCCTTTCCCTTTCTCAGAGCAAGAAGCAAGGGACCAGTCTCTGAGTTCCATTGCAGATCTGCCCCTCTCCCAAATACCCACAATACTTTTCCAAAATGAACTCCTTGCCTTGCAACCTGAGAAGGAAGCAGATGACCAGACCTCTGCTTTCCATGCAGATCTGTCATCCTGCAAATACGCCACCCTGTCCTTCCTATGGAGCAGACCATGATGGGTGACCAGATCAGCTGTCTGCCACAATTTATTAGAAGGTATATTATATAGCAATTTTCTGCTAATGCTGTTCGAAAAATTGAAGAAGCTGTAAATGAGCGACAAGTTGTTTTCCATCCTGAAACATATTGACTCTCCATGAGTTCCTGGCAGATATTGACTTTTCTTCTTTAAGTGATAATTGGTTTTCCTTCTCAAGGAGCATTGCTTCCTTCCTTCTTAACTTAAAGAGAGTCATTGTCTTTTAATTACAGTTCAGCAGTGTAGTAGTTCTCCAGGCTTCAATCTTAGGATTGTGTCTTCAACCCAATTAGGCCCTATTCATTCTTCTTTTATACAATTTCATTCATACGAAATACATTCAATTTCCACACATATTTATGACACATTCAGCTTTTCCCCAGTTCACTCCTGTATCCCCTGCTCAAATATGGTGATAAACTGGATAAGCTCAGATTACAATCAGCTTCTGGTCTATTCAGTCTCATTTCTAAAGGAAATTCTGCATAGAATTGTAAAATCATAGAGTTGGAAGAGACCACAAGGCTAAACCAATCTAACCACTTGCCATTCAGGACAAGCACAATCAAAGCACCCCTGGCAGATGGCCATCCAGCCCTGACAGATGGCTGCCCAGTATGTTTCTTCCACTGTGCTGTTTTCTACACTTGTGCACATTTATAAATATACACCTGTACTTTCATATACAGCAGATACAAATAATCTTTAAAATTGTTTCTATATACTTTTCAGGAGTATCCACAGAAGCCATACCAAAGGAAAGCATACTGAACACAGCTTTACTAGTTATGCTTTGGGGGACTGATTGCATTTTCCCATCATTATTATCACCACCACTTTATAACACTTACAGCCAACTAGTTTTAAAATTCACAACATATGTAGAGTGCAGCTCTGTGAAAACGTATGAAACTCGCGTGATAAAAAACATGCTTGGATGCAAACAGTGATTATATCAAATACCTCAACATCTGTTATAAAGTGAATAAAGACAGCTTTATAATATATCTTAGGAAAACACTGCAGAGCTAAAATGTAAATTTATAATGTTGTAGCTCCAACTTTGTTTGCACTGGAAAATTGTATATGAAGTCAAATACCTACTTCAACACTGATATTCTCTAGCAAGTCAAAGCAAGGATACAAATCTTCTTTCCTGGAGATTCTTAAGAGAAAACTGAATCATGCTGTTCAGGATCTTTTGAGGAATCCTAATTGATGAGCCACTGACTGCTTTATGCAAACCATACTTTACTTGGAATGTACAGAACTTGTAAAATACAGGCTTTCTGACTACAGTGTTTTACAGATATTTTATTCCTATATCTAATGCCCATTTGTGTCTTCCACAAAATTTCTGCTGTTTAGAGCCTCCCTTGGGTAAACAGATAATTCCCATGTTTCAATATGAGATGAATATTACAACGCCCCAGCCCCTCCTTATAACAACAATTTCACCATTGCGACAGTGCCTCCCAAAACCACTTGTCAAACAGCATCCATCTCCCATTCATGGACAGCCCAATGGAGAACTTCATGGGAAGAAAAATCCAGGTACGATACAATTCAGTATGTTTTGCTGAGGCATTAAGGACTTGAATGAATGAAGAAAAAAAGAAAAAAATCCAGATGGAACTAGAAGTATGAAAGGAGACAGAATTCCATATTCCATGTTCTCTTGAATTCAAATGTCTCTCAATCACTAAATGTTTACCATAGGTGTATAGTATGAAATTCTTCCCCTCATAGTTTCTCATCATGTAAGGGGAAAAAAATCTCATTATTAGTTTATGCAAGCAATGTCTTAATTTTTTGGTTTTTAATGTATATATTTCTTTTATTTGTATATCTGTTTTATGCGGCATTGAATTCTTGCCGACTTGTATGCTGCTCTGAGTCCTCTTTGGGGTGAGAAGGGCAGGATATAAATATAGTAAATAAATAAATATGTATAACTGAGCATTTATGGCTGGCACTGATGTTTTTCTTTTATTTTTTTTATAGGCCTCTCTATTCCTTCACCTTCTCCTGGACTTAAACGACACAGGTATTATTGGTTCAGAATCCCTTTTCAAAACAATTGCAAGCTTACTGTACTTACATAGAAAGCTATGTAAAGTGTGATGTAGCATCTGTGATTCTATATCACACCTCAATGACCCTGTGTCATAGTGCCTCAGGGTGAAGTCTCTTTCAGAATTTCAGTTAATTATGCTAGAAAACTGTTTTTGTGTGAAGTGTGATATAGTCTACTCTGTGTCACACTTCAGTCAAAAACAGTTTTCTGGTATAGATAATACTTTCATGTGAGTCGCTGTATGTGAAACTCTGTAAGGGCCTTCAGTTTGAGGATTACACCTAGATTCCATTTGTGCGAAGGCTGTGTAGAGGGTGTCTTAATATAAAGTGGGTCTTTTTGCCAATGTGACGTGGCGGCAAAAAAGCCAATGGGATTTTGGCCTGCATCAATAGGAGCATAGTGTCTAGATCTAGGGA